GGACGGCAAATTAACTAACATAAATGATAGTTTACATATTCTCGAAGACCCCGCCACTCATCATCAACACGACAATATTCACACAACCAACGCTTTTAACCCTCATTACAACGAGGTGAAAACAGCTGAGGCTGGTTTAAATAGTATGAAAACTAAGTTATATGGTAATGCTACTACTCCCTTAACTAACGCTTGACCTAATGATTTAGCCAAGCAAACTGACTTAACTACTGCCAACACTGAATTAACTCGCATTGCTGGTGAAGTTACCAAAATTACTAATGATACTAATTTAAAAACTTTAATCAAAACTAACACCGCTGGGCAGCAAGAAGTTGATAACGCCGAACTAACTCGATTCTCTAACCTAGTTAAAAACGTCAATAATAACAATAATTCCCAACTCCAAGACCAGTTAACTCAGGCTCAACAGGAGCGGGATAATTATAAAGGGGAATTAGAAAAACAGCAAGAGAACCATAAAGATTGTGCTAATATTAAATCAGAACGCGACCGCTTACAACAAGAATTAGTTAATAAAGAAAAAGAATTATTACAACACTTTATTCAAGAGTTAAACCTTGCCTTAACTACTGGCACGATTACCAAAGAGCAAGTATTACAAGTAATCAAAGAAAAGATTAAGAATTCTCCCGGTAATTCCGGTTCGAACGCTGATTTAACCGCCCAAATTGACCGCTTAAAGCAAGAAATTACCGAATTGAAAAATAGTAAAATTACTTCGGAAGTTGTCAGAGATAAATTTGAAACTGTTTATAGCAACGCGGGAATAACTGTTTCGGCTTCTATGAAAGATAAAATTGATAGTACTTCCTCGGCCGAAGAAAAGTTGGGTTTGAAATTAGATATAATGAATGAGGAAATCCAAAAAGAGAAAAAACAAAAAGATATGGCTAAACGAATGAATATTATTTTCGGACTTTTATCCGTTTTTAGTTTATTAACAGTTGCTTTCTTACTAGTGAAAAAGGTAATTTTACCGGGAAGTGAATTAGGTCCCAAAAAAAAGATAAATAAGTAAAAGTGGGGGGATATTTATTCCCCAACTTCCTAATATAGTCCAACCAAACGGTCTCCTGCCCTGAATTCTTAACCTCCAGAATCAGGCGGAGGCTAAATTGGTAAAAATAAGAATAATTAAATAGTCTCTTTGCTGAATTAGTTAGTCAATGGTTAGCCGTTTTTCGACTAACTAACTAATTGAGTCAAAAAAACAAAATCCACTTATTATTCTAAAATATTTTTATTAATACAGTGTTAACTAATATAAAACAAAAGCCTAAACCATAAAATAACAATATAAGGGATATGGATAAGCCACTAAACTCGGAAATTATCGAAAAGTTTACTGAAAACCTAAACAAAAAAGAGAAAATTACTGAATTAACCGTCATTGGGCGGGAAAGAGAAATTAAAGAAGTTATTTATATTTTGTCCCGCCTGCTGAAAAATAATCCCTTACTGATTGGTCATCCCGGCGTGGGAAAAACCGCCATCGTGGAAGGATTGGTTCAAAGAATAGTTACCGGACAAGTTCCTAATTACCTAAAAGGCAAAACTATTTACCAACTGGACATGATGTCTTTAAGAGCCGGAACCAAATTTCACGGCGAATTAGAAGCTCGCTTGAAAGTGATTTTGAATTATATGGCTCAGCCGGAAAATAACGCTATTCTCTTTATTGACGAAATTCACATGATTGTTGGGAACGGAGGCGGCCAAGAGGTTCTTAATATTGCTAATTTATTAAAGCCAATGCTTTCCCGGGGTGAAATCCAATGTATCGGAGCCACCACTCAGGAGGAATACCGTAAATATATCGAAAAAGATGGAGCCTTAGTGCGTCGTTTTAGTAATATTCAAGTTTGCGAACCTAGCCCGGAGGAAACTTTGAAAATTCTCCACGGAATTAAGAATTATTTTGAAATCCATTACGAATTAAAAATTCATAACCAAGCTTTAGCCGCTGCGGTGACTTTTTCCCAGCGTTATTTAACTAGTGCTTATTTACCTGATAAAGCCATTGATTTATTGGATAAAACCTGCGGTCGAGTGCGGAGCGAAATGTGATACGAACCAGAAATAATTGAAAAGGCTCGCCGAAAATTAAGAGAGTTAGAAATAACTATGGCAGCCAGGGGGGAAGAAAGGAGGAATGAAGTCGAAATATTTAGTCTCCAACTAGAAATAAAAAAACAGCAGGGAAAATTGGAAGAGTTATTGGAGCTGGATAAGAAAGAAAACAAAATTATTCAAGAGTTAAACCAAGCCAAAAAATCATTAGCCCAAGCGGAGAGGGAGTCAGTTACTTATCAGCACGAAGAAATTGACCTCACCAAAGCTGCCGAATTAAGATATTCCATCATTCCCCACTGCAAAGAAAAAGTGGCAAAATTAGAGGAAGAAGCCAAAAATAATGTATTAAGAAAATATTTTATCAATCACGAAGACGTGGCTTTAACTATCGCACAAAAGTATGGGTTACCACTTGGAAAAATTTTGCTTAGTGAGCAGCGTAAATTATTTTTACTACCGGACATTCTCCGCCAAAGAATAAAAGGACAGGACCAAGCTTTACGAGTAGTTAGTGATGCTATTTTTCGTGCTCGAGCCGGAATTCAGGACCCTAATCGCCCTTTGGCATCCTTTTTGTTTGTCGGACCAACCGGGGTCGGCAAGACGGAAGTTGCTTTGACGATTGTCGAACAACTTTTCGACCAAAAAAAAAATCTTATTCGCTTAGATATGACCGAATTTTCCGAACCGCACTCGGTTAGCAAATTACTTGGTTCGCCGCCGGGTTATATTGGTTTTGAGCAAAAGTCTTATTTTGAGGAAATTCGGGAAAAAATGAATAGTGTTCTCCTGTTGGACGAAGTGGAAAAATGTCATCCCGAAGTTATTAATCTTCTTTTACAAATATTAGATAATGGCTTTCTGACGTTGGCTAATGGTCGCGAAGTTAATTTTCGCAATACTATTATTGTTTTAACTTCTAATTTAGGTTCAGAATTATATTTTGGAGAGTATGAACCCAAAGAATTAGAGGAAGAATTAAACTTGGAAATCAGAAAACACTTTCGCCCCGAATTTATTAACCGTCTCGATGAGATAGTTTTTTTTAACCGGTTAAGTAAATCCATTATTTACGAAATTATTAGCAAAGAGTTAGGAATATTTATTCAGCGGGTCCAGCACGAGAAAGGTATTAAATTAGAGTATGATAAAGATGTGGTGGAAAAGATTATCCACGACTCTTACTCTTTGGAGTATGGGGCCCGACCTATTAAACATTACATCGAAAAGAAAATCGGCACCTTAGTAGCCCGGGGAATAATTTCTGGTTTTCTTCGGGTGGGTGGGAATTATCTGCTTGGCATCGAAAAAGAAACTAATGAAATCAAAATAATTACGCTTTCTTTATTGGAAAAAGGGAAAAATTTATTAAAGGAAAAATCGGAATAAAAAGGATAATTTAAGCATAATAAAAAGCACTTAGCAAAAATATAGTAGCGAAGAACAACCAAAAAATTAATAATATGAGTAAAAAAGTAGAAAAGGAACTTAATAATTCCAAAAAAACCCCGAAGGATTTAACTAAATCGCAGTCAAAAGATAAAGAAGTTAACCAAAAAACCGCCGAACAAAAATCGGACCACGACCAATCAATTACTCAACTACAAGAAAACATTGTTAACCTAAAAAAAGAAATTGAACTTTTGAAAGAAAGTAATCTTCGTTCGTTGGCTGATTTAATTAATCAAAAAAAGCATCATGCTGAAGAAATAAATGAAGTAAGAAAATACGGTAATGAAAGATTCCTTAAAAAAATTCTTTCCTTTCCGGACAGTTACGAACGAGCCTTGGCTATTAGTCAAAACAAACCTAATCTAAAAATTGCTGACTTCTTATCGGGTTTTCAAATGGTTTTAGCGGAATTCCAAAACATTTTAAAGAAAGAGGGTGTGGAAGAAATAAAAGTTGAACTTGGCAAGGATATTGCCGATGCCAATTTGCACCATGCTTTAGAGGTAGAGGAAACTAATGATTATCCGGACGGAACTATTTTACAAGTTTTACAAAAAGGTTATCGAATTCACCAACGAGTTTTGCGTCCTGCTGAGGTAAAGGTTAGTAAAATAAAAAATAATGAAAAATCGCCCAAAACAAACAAATAAAAGTTAAAAAATTAATTAATATGAATAAAAAAATAAGTAATAAAATTGTAGGTATTGACCTCGGAACAACTAACTCCTGTGTAGCGATTAATGGTAAAGTTATTGCCAACAAGGAAGGGAAAAACACCACTCCCTCAGTGGTTTTTTTTGACGAAGAAGGTAAGAAAATATTAGCGGTCGGTCAAGCTGCCAAAATGAAAGCCGTTACCAAGCCAAGCCAAGTAGTTTTTGAGGCTAAACGCTTAATTGGCAGAAAATTTGCTTCGCCCGAAGTGCAAGATTTTCGGAAAATTGCTCCGTTCGAAATTATGGAAAACAAAAACGGCGATGCGTGGGTTCAAGTGGGAGAAAAAGGTCAGGAAAAATATTCTCCCCAACAAATTTCCGCTTTTATTCTCCAAAAAATGAAAGAAACCGCCGAAGATTATTTGGGCGAAACGGTCAAAAAAGCCGTAATTACTGTTCCGGCTTATTTTAACGATGCCCAACGACAAGCCACTATTGACGCGGCGATTATTGCTGGTCTAGGTGACCCCAAGGTCGAGAAAGCCCGGGAAATGATTAGAATTATTAATGAACCAACCGCGGCCGCCTTGGCTTACGGAATTGACCAAAAAAAAGGTTTACAAACCGTAGCGGTATTTGATTTAGGTGGAGGAACTTTTGACATTTCCATTATTGAAATTAACGACGGAGTTTTTGAAGTCAAAGCCACTAACGGCGACACCTTTTTAGGCGGAGCCAACTTCGACCAAAAAATTATTGACTGACTAATTGCCGAATTTAAAAAAGAGCACGGGATTGACCTCCGTCAAGACGCAATGGCCTTACAGCGTCTAAAAGAAGCCGCCGAAAACGCTAAACATGAATTATCTTCCTTAGAAAGCACCAATATTTTGCTTCCTTTCATTGCTGCTGACTCTTCAGGTCCCAAGAACATTGATAAAAAATTAACTCGTGGGAAATTAAAAGAACTCACAGCCGACCTGTTAAAAAAATTGTCTCTGCCGTGCGAAAAATGCTTGGCCGATGCCAAAATTACCCAAGAAAATATTAATGAAGTTATTTTGGTGGGCGGAATGACTCGTATGCCAATTATTCAAGAAAAAGTAAAAGAAATTTTTGGTAAAGAACCTAATAAACAAGTTAATCAGGACGAAGCGGTAGCCATGGGAGCGTCTATTCAAGGTGGAGTATTGGCCGGAGAAACTAGCGATATTCTTTTATTAGATGTTACCCCTCTTTCGTTAGGTATTGAGGTGCAGGGTGCCCGCGGCGAAGGCAATTTGCTTGATATAATAATTCCCCGTAATACTACTATCCCCACTAAGGCCAGTCGGGTTTATTCGACGGCCGAAGATAATCAGCCCAGCGTTGATATTCAGGTTCGACAAGGCGAAAGACCAAAAGCAGTTGATAATAAACTGTTAGGTAAGTTTCGATTAGAAGGTATCGAACCAGCTCCGCTTGGTGTTCCCCAAATTGAAGTTACTTTTGACATTGATGCGAACGGAATAGTTAAGGTTTCGGCCAAAGATAAGAAAACTAATAAAAATCAGGAAATTACCATTAAGAGTGATGGCGGCTTAAGCAAAGAAGATATTGAAAAAATGACTAAGGAAGCGGAAGAAAAAAAGGAACAAGATGAAGAATGAAAAAACAATATTGAAACGTTGCGGGAAGCCGAAACTTATTGCCGCACTTTTGAAAAGCAAATCGAAGAGTTCAAAAATCACAAGAAATTTAACGAAGATAACCCAGATTTTCAAGAGTTTCAAAGGTTATATAACAATTTAAAGAAAGACGTGGAAGAAAAAAACTACCCTGAATTGAAAAAGCAAATCAGCAAATTTGATGAAATAATACCACTTTACAATAAGTTAAAGAAGGAAATGCCTGACGATGAAGAAAAAAAAACCGAAGCGGACGATACTCTTGATGTTAAACCCGAGCCAGAAGACCCAGATAAAAAGCAGTAAAATTAATTCTAGTTAATGGCGAAAAAAAATTACTATAAGATTTTAGGAGTATCAGAAAAAGCTTCGGCGGCGGAAATCAAAACTGCCTACCGCAAACTGGCTTTAAAATGGCATCCCGACCACAAACCCGAAAGTGAAAAAAAAGTCGCCGAGGAAAAGTTTAAAGAAATTAGTGAGGCTTATGGTGTTCTGTCCGACTCCACCAAGCGAGAAAATTATGACCTCTATGGAAGTGCCGAAGGTCTTAACCAAGGATTTGGTTCTAGCCAAGGGTCTGCCGGTCCTGGCGACGACTTTTTTAAGAATATTTTTGAGAGTTTTTTTGGTGGTCAAGTTGATGATTACACCAAACAAAGAACTACTCAGGGAAGAAGCGGAGTGGAAACTGAAGCCGGGGAAGATATTTTAATTAGTCTGTCTTTAACTCTCAAAGAGTCAATTTTAGGGGTCAAAAAAAAAATCGTTTTAGATTTAAAAAAAGCTTGTCAAACTTGCCGACAAACCGGTGCTTATTCGGCGGCTGACCTAATTACTTGTCGCAGTTGTCAAGGTCAGGGGATAGTTAATACCATTCAACAAACCGTTTTAGGAAATATTCGCACGCAAACTACTTGCCCGAAATGTCAAGGGCAAGGTAAAGTAATTAGCAAGAAATGTCGCAGTTGTAATGGCGAAAAATTTCTCCTTCGCTCCGAGACTATCGAACTGAATATTCCCCGGGGTATTCAACCCGAGAAAAAACTTCGTTATCAAGGAATTGGCAATGACGGACTCCATGGTGACCGAAAAGGTGATATATATGTTATCGTAAAAGTCAAAGAAAACTCTTATTTTCAGCGTAAAGGTAATGACTTACATATTAATTTACCAATTTCTTTTTTAGATGCGATTTTGGGTAGTATGGTTGAAGTGATTACTTTGGAAGGAATCGAAAAAATAACGGTAGCAGCGGGGACTCAAAATGGCGAGTGTCTGATTATGCGTAAGCGAGGCTGCTATTTAGGAACTAATCAAACGGCTCGGGGCGATTTATATATTTGATTACAAGTCAAATTACCAAAAAAAATTACTAAACCAACCGAAGAAGTATTGTGGAAATTAAAAAAAGAAACTAGTTGAAATCCGAACCGTGATTTTATTGAAAAAAATAGAAATATTATTGATAATTAAACTAGAAAATTAGTTTTCGCTATAAAATATTGTATATAACAGTAAAATAATAAAATCAACATGAATTATTCAACTATTCAATTTGCTCGGGAAGAGTTAAGCAAATATGAAAATGACTACCAGGAGTTAGTAAAAAAAATAAATATTTCCCTCTTTGCGTTAGCCAAAACTAACTTTAATTCGGAGAAAAAAAGGAAATTATGAAACGGACTGTTAGAACATACTAATAACATTATTAGAAAGGCGGAAGAAATTTTGGATAAAGTGAGTGCAGTGCGTTTTTCCGGCAGTGAAATCGTTTTGTATGAGGAAAAGGAACGTTTGATTGAAAAATACCGAGCAATACTGAGAAAGTTAGGCGAAGAAAAGGAAACCATTTTGCGCCAAATAGAAAAAAAAGTAATGTTTGTAACCCCTCTGCGGCAAAAAGATGTCAAGCAAGGTTATTGTTATTTTTGTGATATAAGCATTGCGGCCGGTTTTCCTTATAAACTAAAATTTGAGGAACAGAAAACGTTAGAAATTGAAGTAACTGAGGGAGCAGTATTTTGTTCGCAAGAATGTTTATTGGGTTATTGTCGGGAATATAAAAATCGGGAAAAACTGTGCCAAGAAGAAGAAAAAAGAAATAAAGAAAAAATCGAAAATGACCGAAAAAAATTGACGGAAATCCAAGAAAGAATAACCGAATTAACGGAAAAAATAAACAGTTTAGAAAGGAAAGAAAGGGAACTAGAATTAGTGCCAGAAAATAATCCGGTAGGGAAAGAAGAGGTTGGATTCTTTCGTCGACTGGGGCAAAAAATCGGTTTAGTTAAAAAGCCTAATCCACTTTCTAAAATAGAAAGAGTAAGGAAATTAAAAGGTGAAGTAAGAGTTGAATTGGAAAAAACTGGGGAAGAATTTCAAAAATGTTTGATAATTCTCTCGCTGGACGAACAAAAAGAACAAGAGAGGAAAAAATTAGAAGAAAACGTCTTTCTCAAAAAAGAAAAAATTGCTAGTAAAAAAGAACTAAAAACCGATGAAGAAAACGAGTGAAAATAAAAGCATTGCTTTCCTAAAATAATTTTATATGACACGCAAGGCTCTCCTGATTAAAGCACAAAAGATTCCCAAATATTCGACCCGAAAATATACTCGTTGTCTAGCCTGTGGTCGTTCGCGGTCAGTATTTCGTAATTATTTGCTTTGCCGTATTCATGTGCGAGAGTATATCTATAAGGGATTATTACCGGGATTTAAAAAGGCTTCCTGGTAAGAAACCAGTAAAAATATATTTATATGACATTATCGGACCCAGTTGCTAATATGTTAACCATTATCCGCAATGCTAATCTGCGGGGTTATCGTAAAACTCATTTTCCCTACTCCAATTTTAAATGAAGTATTTGTCAAAAATTAACGGAAAATAATTACTTGGCTAAGATTCATAAAGAGGAAAAAAGTAAAAATATTACTGTAGAAATTAAATACGCTAAGGAAGGCAGTCGCATTCACCAAATAAAAAAAATTTCCAAACCTTCCCAACATATTCATGTCCGAGCCACGGAAATCAAAAAGAATTGTCGCCAGCGGGGACTTTATTTAATTTCTACTTCCCAAGGATTATTAACTCAGCGGGAAGCGTTAGAAAAAAAACAAGGTGGCAAAGTTATTTTTTTTATTAGGTAATATAAAGTAATTATTAAAATAATAATATTATGGTAATCAACAATAACAAAAAGAAATTTACAGGTAAAACCCTACAAGAATATTTAAATTGGAAATATCCGACAAGGGAGGAGAGGGAACAGGTGAAAGAAGTTGATATTGATAAAATCAATGAAAGTAATGATTTAACCAAACGACTAGACGGAGGCGAAGTAGATTTAAGTGAGTATGTGAATTTAGAGAAAATAAGTATTAATGGAAAATATTATTTAGATTCCCCCCTAACCAAACTAACCTTAGGAGAGAAACCAAAATTAACTAGAATTTATTGCCGCGAAAATAAAATAACTTCTATTGATATGCCTAATTGTCCTAATTTAACTGAACTTGATTGCTTCAATAATCAACTAACCACCCTTGATTTGTCTGGTTGTCCTAATTTAATTAAACTTTATTGCCCCTATAATCAACTAACCTCCATCAACTTAAAACAATTACCTCATCCTGAAAAACTAACTTGATTATCAATTTTCAACAACAAAATCCAACCTACCGACATAGCAATATTTAGCAAGTTTATTAATTTAATTTATTTACAAATAGGAACTATGTGAGATCACTTAAAAGAAGGCAAACGAAACTACTTCTACGGCTCCCTAAAATCTTTTCAAAACCTAACCAAACTAGAATCAATATGTATTGAAGCCACCGACGTCAATGAGGGCTTAGAATACTTGCCGCTTAGTTTAGCCGAGCTCACCAAAGGAGGAGATTATAAAAAAATTGAATGTTCCCCCCACAGCACCAATGCCAAATGCTCGGCTATTCAAAACGAACTAAGACCCTTAAACTACGACCTTTCAGCCTGACAACTGGCCCACCCCGAAAAAATGCTAATTGCTAAACCTGAACTATTCACCCAACCCAACAGCCGCGAACAATGAATCACCGCTTTAACTACCAAAATAACCCAAACCCAACAAGAACTCCAAACAACTCAAACTACCCTACCCGAGAAAGTCAAAAGAATTACCCGCTTAACCGATAAAATAAATAATTTAACCACTATCAAAAACTTATTAGAAGAATTGGCTATTGAAAAGGACCATAGCCAAGATATAAATAATTGATATACTCGCCAACTGGGCGGGGAAAACGCCCAAAAACGTAATGAACTATTTAACCAACTCTTAGCCCTAAAATGAATTAACCAACAGCACGAACAGCAAATTAAAGGTTTAGAGAAAAATATTGCAATAGGTAATAAAATTTTGGAACAAGAATACCAGCCCAAAGAAACCAAAGAACAAGGAACGCAAACTGATTTAAATAATTTAGAATTAGAACAACAAAAAACTATCCAAGAATTAGAGGAAAAAGTTAAAGAATTAATGATTGAAAAAAATAGTAAATAAAATTTATGTCAAAAATCGCTAATCGGATTATTGCTATCCCAGAAAAAATTGAAATTTATCTAAACCAACAGGAAATTTTCGCGACTGGACCCCAAGGAACAAGTGAAAAATTAATTATTCCCCCCGAGATAAAAATTACCCAGGAGGAAAGAAAACTGCTTACGGCTTCCCCTAATACCAGTTTGGCTGGCACTTATAATTCTTTAATTACTAATATGATAAAAGGAGTGGCAGAGGGATTTCAAAAAACCTTGGAAGTAAAAGGAGTAGGTTATAAAGTGGCATTGAAGAATAATCAATTGGAATTTAATTTAGGTAAGTCCCATTTAAGTTATGTTAACATTCCGGACGATTTAAAAGTTGCGGTCGAGGGTAATAAAATAATTATTAAAGGCCTTGATAAGCAAAAAGTAAACCGATTTGCTGCTAATGATATTCGACCTTTACGCCAACCCAGCATTTATAAAAAATCCAAAGGTATTTATTACTTAGGCGAGGAGGAAACTATCAAATTGCGAGCCAGTAAATCTTTAAGTAAAAAGTAAAATTATAACATGATGCCCCGTGTTTGAGAAGAAAAAGGTATTTATACGAACCCGGCTCATATTCGTGTCCTCGGCACCGAGGGGGAAATGAAAGTTTGATTAAACACTGACTTAGAAATTGCCGAGTGCTACGACATTCCCGCTCATGAATGAAACAAAATCTTAAAAAATAATAATTGCCTTGGCTTAATTTTATCGGAAGAAGTTAGCCAGTAATTAAAATTAAGTAAAATAATATATAATACATGACGAAAAAGTTAGATAAAAAAAATCAGCGGAAAATTCGAAAGAGAAGAAGCAAACTAATTATCGGAAGTTCCGAACGACCCCGGGTGGTTCTTAGTGAATCCAATCGTTATTTACGAGTCCAAGCCATTGACGACAAAATAGGTCATACTTTAATTTATTCCTCCACTGAGGAACTGACCGAAAAAAATAATTATTCACGCAAAAATAAAGACTACGCCCAAAAGTTAGCCGAAATGTTTGCGGATAAATTAAAAAAAGAAAATAAGGAGAAAATCGTTTTTGACCGCAACGGTCGACCTTATCACGGTAAAATTAAAGTTTTTTGTGAAACAATGCGCCAACTAGGTATTAATTTTTAATTCAGAATGTTAGAGGAAGAAAAGTATTATAAAAATTTGGCAAGCGAGCAAAAAAATGTCCTAATAAAGGAAACAAACCAACCAATTGGCGAAGTAATTAAAGAAATACCGATAATAACCGACCAGGAAAAAAAACCGACCGCGGATAATTTGGACCCCAAAACCAATCGGAAATTTAGAGATAAAGAAAAAAGAAGTTTTTCTCGTTACCGCTTTCAAAAAGAAACCTTGCAAACTAAACGAGTAGTAAAAGTAACCAAAGGCGGGCGCCGATTTAGTTTTACTAGTTTAGTCTTAATAAAAGATGAGGAAAAAAAAGGCGTAGCTTTTGCTCGGGCCGGTGGCAAAGAAGTAATTTCGGCCCTACAAAAAGCTACCCGAAAAGCCGAAAAAAAATTGCTAAATTATTTTCCGACTCCGTCTCGCACTATTCCCTGTGATATATTGGTCAGTTATAAAGCTACCAAACTTTTTTTAAAACCGGCTCCGCCGGGTAATGGTATTAAAGCGGGTGGAATACTTAGCAAGTTGTTTAAATATTTGGAAATTAAAGATGTCAGCATCAAAATAATTGGTTCCCGCAATAAATTAAATGTTATTCGAGCCGCTTTTCTGGCTTTGGATAAATTAACTGGTAAAAAATATGACTATTAATAATTATTTAGTTTCCGTTGGAAAAAAGAAAAAAATTGTTGGTCGGGGCATTGGCTCCGGTCGCGGTAAGACTTGTGGCCGCGGGCAAAAAGGTCAACATGCCCGTAAGAGTGGTCATGTTCGTCCTGGTTTTGAAGGAGGTCAAACCCCTGTTTTTCGCCGTTTTCCCAAGCGTGGTTTCAAAACTCCTCAATTGTCCTACCAAGTAGTTAATTTAGCGAGGTTAGAAAAAGATGAAAAAATAATTAACGGACAAACCATAGACTTTTCCCACGACAAACATCCGACTAAAATACTAGGGGAGGGGAAATTGACTAAACAATTGACGGTCAAGGCCGCCGCTTTCTCCCACACTGCCCAAGCCAAAATTACCCAAGTAGGTGGAGAATGACAAATAGCCACAAAAATTAATCATGGCAAGCAATAGTAAAAAAAAAAGAGTTCGCCGTCAATATTATACTTTTTTCTTAGCTTGTTTAGCTAGTTTATTGGGTTTAGGGTTATATTTAGCCGGTCGACATAAAATTCCTTTTCCGGACCAGTGGCTAATTAGTGATGAGAACAAAAGGAAAAAGTTATTTTTTTTAGGAATTAGTATCCATTTGCAAGTCAATTTTATCCTCGGAATTTTCTTTATGTTAATAAATACGGAAAAGATTGACCAGGCTAAAATCCGCAAATGAAGATATTGAAGTAGTCGCATCTTAATATTTATTTTCTCACTGGGTTTTGGTCTAGTATCTTTTTGAGATGATACAGTATTAAAAGGAAATTGAGGTAGTATTTTTCTCTTGTGTTTAATTATTACGGTAATTAATTGTTGTTTATTAGAATTACTTATTCAATTAATGAACCAATACGGAATATGTAACGCCTTTAATTTAATTCTTTTTACTGAATTTATTCCCTATCTTTGAATTAAGGAACATTTTGTTTTAAATCGCGAAATAATTTATGTGGTGGGATTAGTTTTAATTACTATTTTCTTTATTTGAATAACCAATTTGAAATGGGAAGTGCCAGTCGAAACTAATACTCTTTATAGTGAAGATAGTAAATCATTAAAAAAAAATAGGTCGAAACTGGGATTTAAATTAAATTTTAGTTTTATGCCTTTATATTATTTGTCTTCCTTTATTTCTTATATTTATACTTTTGTGTTAATGAAAAGGCTGGGAACCGATTGATTTTCCGGTCAAAGTCTAAGAGATAATTATCAAGTGGCGGAAAAATTCAAAAGTGACATGCGTGAGAGCGGAACAATAGAAGAAAAAGGAGGCTTTTGAAAGTCTTTTCTTGGTCTCAACGAAAATAAGGCAATTTTTAACTGAGGGAACCTAAAAAAATGATTTAGCGAGAATAAATGATGAATTATTGGTGGTGCTTTGCTTTTCTTGGTTTTATTGCGCTGACTAGTCATGTGAGTCCAAATGCGGAAAGCCACTTGAAAAACTAAGGAAATCAGCAAAAATTTACGGAGCCGCGGCATTTATATTAATCGAGTTCCGCCCGGTTCTTTTACTCGGAAGTTATTAAAAAAAATAATTAATAAGTTAGTGTTTTTTTGATATTTTATCATCCTAATTTTCAATATTATTTTCGATAACATTTTCAAGAAGTTTTTAGACTTGAGTTTTACTGGTTGATTTAGCAGTGTTAATATCGGTACTGACTTAATTAAACAAATCCGAACAAAATTTAAATATATTCGTTCTAGCCAATAAAAATTTATGAATAAAAAAATTGTTTTATTATTATTTCCTCCTATTATCAATAATCTGGGTTTTTCCAACCAAGAAAATATAAGGTTTTTAGACTTAGGAAATATGAAAAGGGATTATCTAGTCCGAACCAAGATTGATTTAACCAAAACAGAAGAATTCTTCAATTTGTTTAATGTTGATTATAGCCAGGAGGTTAGCCAAGTTATTGCCGAAGAAAAATCGGCTAAATTAATACTAGTTAATTATCCCCATAATGAAAAACAATTTACTTCGCTCCGGGAAGAATTAACTAAGCAAGACAAAAATATTAATAATATTATTCTGATAAACATTGCTAATTATGAATTAATATTAAGTATCCAAAATGAATACTTAATTTGTCCGCTTTGTGAAAAAATATATAGTAGGCAAGAGACAGTAAAAGAAGATGAAAAATTTATTTGTCCGCTGGATGATAAATATCAATTCTCTCTAGCCGAAATTACTAAGTTTAATGAATATATAATGAATTATTATTTAGAAAATACCAAAATTTTAATTAGCAAGTTTTTAGCCAAAAGTCAATCTTCCGCAACGGCTATCGCTCAATTATCTATCCAAAAAAAGGAAGAGATTTTCAATGGAGAAATCCCCAAAAAACTTTTAAAAATAATTAATGACATTAAGTAAAAAATTAGCTAGAGAGAGAAATATATCGGGAAAAGAAATAAAAATTCTTTCTTCCTTGCTTATTTCTCAAATATATTGCTTAATTTTCGGCTGGTTGGTTGGCAGAAAGGAAAGAATTAATTATCCCACAAGTGCTTTTTTTTACTTTTTTTTAACTTGGTGGTGTGTTTGAAACTGTTTTTTAACTATTGCTTTTCTGTTATGAAGATTAATTAAACCCCGCTCAAATACTTATTTCACTCAGTCTTTTTCCTTGATAACCTTGATTAGTAATTTAATTACCATGGGTATTTATGTTGTCGGTTTGCTTTTGTGAATGACTACGGAGATAAAAGTAGTTCCTATACCAACCCGAGAAACTTACAAAATAATTCAGTGATGACTTTATTCTCCTCTTTGACATCTTATTGCTCCGGCCGGCTTTATTTATTGATTTTTCCGTTATAACCAGGTCGATTTATTAAAGAAAAAGTTGAAATTAACCATTTTTTTTTGCCTAATTATGCCAACGTTTTATTTCCTCTACTGTTTTCTGCGAACTAAACTTAGTGCTGAGGAATGTTTAAAATATCCTTTTCACCGTTGACCTTATTTTTTTCTTAGTTCCAAGAATATGGCTAATAAATTAGGCACTAGTCGCTTGGGCTGGAAAATTATTTTAGTTTTGTTTTGGTTTAGTTTGTTTGGTCTAATAGGTTATTTATCCTTAAAAGTAGCCCGAAATTTAAACAAATGAGATAAGAAAAAAAGAGTAAAAAAACCTCGTTTGATTTTGAAATTTCTAAATCGCTAATAAGGTAAAATCATTATTATTAATATAAAACATAAGAGTTCATTTTTGCGCCTGTAGCTCAGTGGAATAGAGTGTTTGACTTCGGATCAAAAGGTCGTGGGTTCAAATCCTACCAGGCGTGCCAATTATAATTAGTTATATATTACACTAATCAAATATGACAATATCATTACTAGAATTATTAAGAGAAGAGAACAAAAAAAAAGGCAGACCTTTAAAAATCATTTGTGATTGGGATGAGTGTTTACAACCCTCAAAGCCCTCTCTACTTTATCATTTATCTCCTAAAAAAATTACTTTTAAAGAATACTTTAACAAGTTTTGAGAAAATTCTTCAATGAAATACTACGATAGTGGATTTGGAACTAAGGAAAATATTAATTGAGGTAATTACTCGTATATAGACCCCTGCGATGAAAATGAAAAAATTAACAGACAAAGTCTCTTAGATGCTACCCAGCGAAGAAATAATGAGTTTTATAATTCTCCTGATTTTTATAAAACGAATCCTTTTCTTTCTATCGCCGAAGAATTATTACAATGCTTAAAAGAGGAATTGATTAGTGATTTGTGAATAATGACTGCTTTCAAAAAAGGTAAACACCCTTCGACTGGTAATCCCCGAAAGTTGGAAAAATACCACAATTTTTTTGGCAAGTTCCCTAACGCAAAATTTTATTCAATAGAAGTTACTCCTGCTGAAACGAGAGGAAAATATTCTCCTTACAGATGAGAATATATAAAAGAGAAGGGTTTAGACTTTGATGTTTTTATTGATGATAATGCCTCCGTGTTAACCAAAACCAGAGAATTTTTTGCGGATAGCGACAACAGCAAGATTTATTGTTTACCTGCTTACAAAACTAATGAAAAAATTCAGCAACCAAATATCTACCACATTAAAACCACAGTCTCCGACCTCAAAGACCAAGACTTTGCTCTGGTGGCCTTAGAAATGAGAACCAAAAAACTAGAACAAGAATTAAAAAATATAGCGAGTAAAAGTTCTTTATGAAAACAACCTAGCACTTACTTGTTCTTGGCTGGTGGAGCAGGTCTAACTCTCATGCTAGTTTTGCTTTTATTGGAAGCGGTTAGAAAAAAATCAAAGTCTTAGGGTAAGATTGTATGATTATGTAATATTTAAAACAAGTTTTTATCAGGAAAAAAGGATGGAAAACAAGATAATCGCCCAAGCGAAAAAGCATCTCCATAATTATAAGATTATTGAAAAATTTATTGCGGGAATAGTGTTAACTGGCAATGAAATAAAATCATTACGTAATTATCAAACAGTCATTAGCGAGTCCTATATTTTACCGCAACAAGGTGAATTATTTATTACTAACATGCATATTAATGCTTATAAGTATTCTCAGGCTAGTAATTTAAAAAAGGCTTCAGACACGAGAAGGAAAAGAAAGATACTGTTAAAAAAAAAGGAAATTAATAAACTAATTGGTGAAGCAAAAGCCAAAAATTATGTCGTTATTCCGCTCCAACTTTTTATTAATAATCATGGTTGAGCCAAATTAGAAATAGCCTTAGCCCAACCTTTACGCAAATATCAAATCAAAGAAAAGATTAAGGAAAAAGAAATCAAAAGGAGATTACGCGAAGAAAGTTTTTGGTAATTATCTTATAAATCTTTTTTTTAAAGTCCTAGTTTCTGACATTGGGGGCAAAAAAAACTACTCCGATTATTTATTCTTTCCATAATGATAGGAGTTTGGCACTCATAACAAGGTTTATTTTCTTTCATATAGACTTTTAATTCGTTTTGGTAAAAGCCTTTTCCTCGTAAAGGAGAAACAAAATCCACTACTGAGGTGCCGCCTAATTCAATTGATTTTTGTAAAATTTTTTTGGAGTGGTAAATTATGTTTTCGATTTCTGCCCGTGTAATTTTATTGGTTGGTTTTAGAGGGCTGATTTTACAAAAGAAAAGTATTTCGGAGGCGTAAATATTGCCAATACCGCTCATTATTTTTTGTTCCAAAAGAGCAGACTTGATGGGTATTCTTAATTTCTGAAACCGAGAAAGCAAATATTCAACGCTGATTTCTTCTTGAATAAGGTCAGGTCCAATTTCTTGATAAGGAGAACGGGAACGAAAAGTATCGAGGGGCTGTAAATAAAAGACACCAAATCCCCGCGGGTCGCAGTAAAAAAGTTTTTGACCGTTAGAGAAATGAAAAATTAAAGAAATATCATGCTGGTTTTTTTCCAAAAAGTATTTTCCGGTCATTCGCAAATGATTAATTAGGACCAAATTATCCAAGTAAAAAAATAATCATTTGCCTTTTCTTTCGATACTACGAACAACCTGTCCTAATAAGTTATTAGCAAAATTGCTCGGGGTGATTTCTTTAATATGAAATTCTTTTCTTATTTCTATTTGCGAGATAGGAGAGCCAACTACTCCGCTAGCACGGAGGGCTCTTAAAACTGTTTCGACTTCGGGTAGTTCAGGCATTATATTAATTAGTTTTTCTCTTTTTATTTTCTTTAACTTCTTTAACTATTCGGTTATATTGACCGTGGAAACACAAATTTTCGATACGGAACTTTATTATAAAATTATACATAAATGTCAAAATTACTAATAATGGTGTCTTAGCCTATTATTACTACCAAAATCGCAGTGATAGTCCCCAGTTAGCCGAACTAAAAAACCAATTAAATCACTATAAAGACTTAGACCAACAAAAGACGGCTGGTTATTTCGCTAGCAACCAACCAATCACCCAATTAACTAGCGACTGTGATAAGTGAAAAAATGATTACCAAGAACAAAACAACTCCCTAACTAATTACTTAACTACTCGCAATGAGGAATTAACCCAGCAAATCACCCCCTTACAAGAACAAATCCGACAATTAACCAGTAAAATTAAACTACTGGAACAACAAAAAGCCACTTACCAAACTAAATATAATTCCTCGATTGAATTTATTAAAGAAATTAGAACTGAAGTCCGGAAAATGGAATAGGGAAAAATAAGCACTAATCAAAAACCCACTGACAGCAAAAACAACTGCAAACTGAAATAACCCTGCTACAAGAATTATTGGCCGTGGAAAAGTAAAGGCGGGTGGAAAAATATTATCCGCCAATGGAGTTTTTTACCCTGGTTACTCCTTAAAGAAATAAGGGAAAAAAATTAATTAATAATGATTAAAACTTTTGGCGATAAACACACCGCAACATTATGAACTAAAAAAACTGTCCTCAAATGGAAGAGTATTCAAAATGTTGCTTTGCGGAAATTAGAACAATTAGACCAAGCCAAAAATCTCTTAGAATTGACTATTCCGCTTCATAACCGTCTCGAAGCCTTACGAGGTGAATGAAAAGGTTATTATAGCATTCGGATTAATAGACAGTATCGCCTAGTCTTTATTTGAGAAAAAGGAAACGCTTACGAAGTAGAAATTACCGATTACCACTAAAATTAAGTTATTATGACTAGAAAACTAACTATCTATCATCCCGGAAAAATACTGAAAGAAGAATTTTTAATTCCCGCTCAAATTAGTTCTACTCAATTAGCGCGGGATATCAATATTTCTAATAAAGTAATTCAGGAAATAGTTACGGAGAAAAGAGACTTAACCAAAGACATTGCTACCCGCTTAGCCTTATACTTTGGCACTGCTCCAACTTTTTGAATAAATTTACAAAGTAACTATGATGAAGAACAAGTAGAAAAGTTGTTATTTAAAAATTTAAAGAAAGAAATCCAACCTTTATCTCACTTTCACTAATTTTCCTTATTCAAGCCCTTATTTTAGCCTTGTATAAGAAACCCATAATAAAAATACAAGTTTCAAAACAACTAAAAAATTATGAAACCAATTAGTCAGGGGCAAATACCTCCTTAGAAAAGTTAATTAAAAAATGAACCAGCAAAATTGCCCGAATTGTAATCATACTGAAAACTGTCCTTATTGTCAACTTAATTTAGCAAAAGAAGGCTTAAATTTTCATTCTTTTTCTAAGGGTTTGAGAACAGTGATAATGCAAGCGTGAAAATCTAACCCTTTTCAATCAATACTGCCATCACTCTCACGGGGAATAATTGAGGCTAAGAAAAGCAAAGATTTATAAGTAAAGTTTTTCCCAGTCTCTTCGTTAAATTTAGCAACTTGGGGAACACTAGAAAAAGGCGGAAAGCCTGTTTTACTATTCACTAATTTAATCTTTTCATCTAATTCACTTAAAGAATTGATTTCTCACCATTTAATTTCGGGAACATATTGGGTTAGGAATTCAATAGTGGCTTGCTGGTCGTCCAAGTTTTTAGCAGTTTTTATTTGGTTGATTTTGGCTTGGGCTTCTTCTTCGGTAGGTAAGTATTGAATACTACCTGGTAAAGGATTATCCGGGTTTTGACTGGGCTGATTAGAGGAACTATTATTTTTAGTAAAGAAGTAAATGCCGAAGATTAGTCCGATAATTAGAACTGTTCCAACTATTATTCAGATTAGTTTACTTCTCTCTCTCTGTTATGTCAGTTGGGGATTTCAGTCATGTCATATATAATAATATTTTAACTTTTATGCCGTTTCTTTATTCAGACTATATTATAAAATTAAGATATAGACCAAACTGGAAAACTAATTGCTGGATGCTCGGTAATTAGGAGAGTTTGAAGAAAAAAGTTCTGTTAATTTTAGTAATATATGCTAGTCCCGTGAAAATATATAAAAGAACATCTTAATTTGCCGTCTATTACTGTTTCGCAATTAGCCGAGAAATTAACTTATTATGGTTTAGAAACTAATTTAGCCGAGTGCGGCGAGGACATTTATTTAGAGTTCATTCCTCTTCCCAATCGACCTGATTTATTATCTTGGCGAGGTATAATTAGCGAGACGGGGATTTTATTAAATTGTTCAGTTAAACCAACCACTATTCCTGTTATAAATGAGAGTCAACCAAAATTAATTGAACTAGTAATCACAACTAAAAATTGCCTAGAATTTCATTTGGGTCTAATAAAAAATATTGAAATCAAAGAAAGCCCGCAGTGTTTAAAAGAATGATTAAAAGTAAATAATATTCGTTCGGTTAATAATATAATAGACGCTGCTAATTTGGTAATGTTAGAGAACGGACAACCCCTCCATATTTTTGATTATGATACTTTATCTCCTCAACAAAAAATTACCATTCGCGAAACTCAGACCGGAGAAGTTTTAACTAATCTTCACGGGGAAAAAACAGCACTTAACACGGGAGACATTGTCCTAAGTTCGGGAGAAAAAATTATTAGTTTAGCCGGAATTATCGGTACCCAAGAAACCGCTCTAACTCCCCAATCGCAAAATATTCTTATTGAGTGTGCTTCTTTTAACTCCGAAGTAATTAAAAAAAGTAGTAAAAGTTTAAATATTTCTACTGCCGCTAGTCAATATTTTAGCCAGGGAGCCAATTTAGTTTTATCACCAAAAAAAGTTCTAGCACGAGTCATTTCGCTTATTACTGAAACTTATGGCGGAAACTTAAATTCCGCAACTGTTTTCACCTATCAGGAGGCACCCCAAAGAGAGAAAAAAATAATAACTATTAGCCAAGAATTTATTGAGAAAAAGACGGGTCAAAAACTTACCAATAAAGTTATTGAAAATATTTGACAGCAACTAAAATTTGCTTACCAAAAAAAAGAAAATTTTTATCATATTAATATACCTACTTACCGACCAGATATCACCAATCCCGAGGGTTTGCTAGAGGAATTATTAAGAATTTATGATTATAATAAATTAGATGACCTGTCCTCTCCTAACTTCCAGACCGTTTCTTTGGCTAGTAATAAGGGCGAAAGAGAAAAAAAAAAGGAACTGCGGAGTTATTTAGCCAATTGTGGTTGGCAAGAAATTATTACTTATTCCCTTGTTTCCCCCGAAATGAAAGAAGAGTTTAACGAAGTCGAAAAGCAACCTTTTTATCAGTTACTAATGCCGAAAAACGAATATCATAAATATTACCGCCAAACGCTTATTCCTAGCCACTTAAAAACGATAAGTTATAACCTTTCACACGGAAATAAAGATTTATTTTTTTTTGAAATTAGTTCCGTTTATTGTCCCACTCAGCAACCGGAGGAACTATTTATTTTGAGCGGAGTAGGAAAAATAATTAACCAACCGCTCCACCGCCTAAGCCAGGAAATAGATTTTTACTGAATAAAAGGAGTACTGGAAAACATTTTTTTCGCTTGAAAAATGGAAAAAGAAATTTCTTTACTACCCCTTACTTCTAATTATTTTTCTTCTTCGGACAGTGCTGAGATAATTCTCCACGAGGAAAAAATTGGTCTGATTGGTCGCGTTCAGTCACCAATAACTAATAAATATCAAATTAAAGAGCCAGTATTTATCGCCCAAATATCTTTAACTAAAATATTTAATTTCCTCGCCAAATTTCCCCGCCCAAATACTTACCGACCTATTTCCCCTTTCCCAATTAGCAAAAAAGATTTATCGTTCCTTTTCTCGGAAAAAATTGATTATAATCAGGTGGTTAAAGAAATAGCAAAATTAGGCGGTAATAACCTCCAAGAAGTAACTATTTTAGATGTTTATCAAAATAAGGAACTAGAACAAGAAAATAAAAAATCAGTTAGTTTTCATTTAGTTTTTCAAAGTTCCACCAAAACCCTAGAAAAAAAAGAAGTAGAGGAAATACTAAAAATTATTAGTGGAGAAATAGAAAGAAAGTTTGCTGCTAAGTTGCGCGACTAAATTGTTCTTTTTAAAAAAAGCAATATTTAACCTGTAAAGTTTACTTTTCTTTAAAATATTATAATATCATGGCAGAAAATAACAAAAAGAACTTAGTTAAAAAATTGTTTGGACTCACTGGAATATGTGGCGGTTTTCCAATTAATTAGAATTAAAAATTATGGAAACGGAATTCGACCAACTTAAACAAAAAATTAATGACAAAGAAAGGGAAATTAGAGAACTGTGAGAAGCAATCCGGGCAGAAAAAGATAAACCAAAAGAACAAATTATTGAAGAATTAAAAGGGATTAAACGCACCACCGGTCAGCATCCGGGCGGATTATTAATTACTTTGCCGGAAACTGACATTCAGGACTATACTCCGCTCCATTACCCCGCTGATAATCGGCAAGCAGAATGAGTAACTACTCATTTCGAATATAGTTTTTTATCGGAAATTTTCCTAAAAGTCGATATTTTAGGACATGATGAACCAACCATCTTACAGAAATTATTTCAATTAACTAACAAAAACCCCCAGGAAATTTCTTTTCGCGACAAAAATATAATGCAGACATTTACCACTGCCGACACGCTAGGAATACCGGAATTTGGCACTGATTTTGTTAAAAGAAACTTACTAACTCCTTTAAAACCGACCAAATTTTCCCAGTTAGTACAAATTTCCGGCTTTTCGCACGGCACTAATGTTTGAACCCAAAATCAACATACTATTTACAAAAACGGACAACTATCTTTAAGTGAGTTAATTGCTTGCCGGGAAGATATTTGAAGTTTCTTGGTTTCCTGAGGAGTGGATAATAAAAAGGCTTTCATTGCTACTGAATATATTCGTAAAGGTAAATGAGATAAGTTATCAGAAAACATTAGAGAGGAAATTAGAACTAAATTAAACGACCAACAAGGAGAGTTATATTTTTCCATATTAAGCAAAATTAAATATATTTTTCCCAAACCACACGCCATTGCTTATACTATGACCGCGTGGCGAACCGCTTTTTATAAGGTTCATTATCCGCAAGAATTTTATTCGGTTTTGCTTACTTATCACGCCACTGTTTATGACATTTGATTAATGAGTTTAGATTTAGCCACTATTAACTTTCGCCTGGAAAATTTATTAAGCAATCTGTCTAGTTATAAGAGCAACGAGAAAGAAATTCTTTCAATTATTAAAGTTTTTGAGGAATTGAATAAAGAAAAAAGGAGAACGGAAAAAACAGTCGACAAAAAGAAAATCTGAGCGGTTTGAGAGCGAATGAATATCGACCAAGCTTTAATTAATATTCAGGAAAAAATTAATAATTCCGGTGATAAAAAATTAATTGAAAGTTTGCGAAAAAATGGTAAAACTTGAAAATTAACTACCAAAGAAAAAGAATTATTATTCACTTTAAAAGTAATTTTAGAAATGGAAATGAAAGGTTTAGGATTTGCCCGGGGCGTAGATTTAAATAAATCCGAAATCCGCGATTTTAAAATTGAAAACAATACTATCTATTTTCCTTTTACCGCCATTAGTGGCATTGGGGAAAAAGTGGCTGAGAAAATTATTTCTTATCGGCAAGAGCACGGCGGATTTCACGGTAATTGAAAAGAAGAATTAGGCGGATTATTAAACACTAATCATCTCCAACAATTAGAAAATTTAGAAAAATATAATATATTATTAGAGATTAAAGAGTAAAATTATAAATATACTTCAAGAGGAAGATTTAAGAAAGTATTTTAAAGATTGTTTGGATTTTGATTTTATTCTCAAAATCGGACATTAATTATGAAAAAAGTAGTAAAAAGGAAATCACCAGAAAGAAATTAATAAAATTAAAAATAAATTATATACATAATAGACAAATTAAAGTAAGAAAAGAAAAAGATATTTAATAAATATGACTAGTAGAATAGTAATACATAATAATGGAAAAATAGATTTTGAAAGAATCAAAGTTAAAGATATTGAAAAATTCACCGACGCAATGGTCGTATTACCAGAAAAGAGCATTGATTTAAGGGAAAAAAGGATAGGATTAATAACTCACTTTTCTTTCACCTCGCACCAAGATATTGGCGAAGGAGATACTATCACTATACGAGGTATTAATTTGAATAGTCCCGGAGTAAGAACTAACGAAGGTAAAGATGCATTATACATTGGAATACATTTTGACGAGGTGGTTGTTAATGAAAGGGCTGAAAGACCAGGTGAAAAGGTTTTAAGTTGGATAAATGGTTCGCGGGGTTTTCGCCTCCATGCTTCGGACAACGGGCATAACCAATTTTTTAGTTTTATATCGGAATCAGAAGAGGAAGAAGATATGCATATACCAAGTTATAAGGTTGATAATTTGGAAATTATTACGGATGAATTAGAAAAGTATATCCATAATCATCACACGGAATTTACTCTTAACGAGTGGAAGCATACTAATAAAAAATGAGGCGAAACTCCTCCTTGATGAGATAATGACCGAGAAATAAAACATAGAAGTGGTAATATTATTCATCCTGGTATTTTTCTATCTGAAACTAGGTATAAGCGAATATTTGAACGGTTAGTAAGAAATAAATCCGCTGAGGAATACGACAGAATTGATGATGCTGATAATTCAAAAAGTCAATTGCGTGAGGTTGTCATAGACCATATTTACGAAGCAAACAAAGATGAGGAGGGAAATTATAAACTCAGTAAGGACGAAATAAAAAGAAGATTTGCAAATTTTATTCGAGACAATGCTCGGCAACCATGAGGACACTGCCGAAACGCCAAAAAATATTTAGGCGGCAGACAAAACGAAGGAGTAGAGAACGAACAACAAAACATTATTACTGATGATAACATTAATTACCAATTACGTGATTTATGAAAGAAAATTAAACAAAATAGAAATAAATGTCAGGAAATTGACGAAGCAGAATTAACGGAGATAGAAGACTTAATTTGGGTGTTTAGAGAAAGCGGGTGAAGGGTTGAGATTGATTTAGTAAAAGAATTAGTAAGACGCATGAGTAATTTAATCCAAAGAGTCGAGGCTAATAACAATAATAACAATAATAACAATAATAACAATAATAATTCGTCGGAAGAAAATCTGACTATTACCGAAATTCGCACTAAAACCATTGAATTAATTACCAAAACTCTTAGCAATTCCCAACTTACTAATAATGATTTAGAAGTTGACAATCGGGATTGGCGAAGACAAATTGAAGTTAGCACTAACCCCGAAGAAATAGTAAACATTAAAGAGCAAGTATTAATTAATATTAAAAATAAATTAACCAAAAAATTAAATAAAAAGCGATTAGAAGAACTAATCGAAGAAGCGAAAAAACTAACTGATTACCAAGAATTAGCCACCAAATTAAAACAAATAAACGATTTTTACGGACAAAGAATTTATGAAGAAAAGATAACCGAAATAAACGCTCTAAAAAAGAGATTAGCCGACTTAAACCCGGAACAATATTCTCGAACTAATGAAGAAATGATTGATAATGAATTAAACAAAGGGCATTTAAACCAAAATGATTTAGACTCCGAAGCCCAAGCAGCCTTAGATAAACTAAAAAACGGAACTGAAAAAGACCCGTCGAAAATTGATGAACTGAAAAACATAGTTAGTAATAGCATTGGCACCAAAGTTGCTTTAAACAAGTTAGATAAACTACTGGAAGAATACGAAAAAATTCCGTCCACTGAGCCAGAGAGAAAAAAAGCCGCCAAGAAAAAAATTATCGAGTTTTACAGTCAAATTGGTTCTGACCTTTTCCATAAAAAAGCTTATGAGGCACGTCAGCAAGCAGTTGATGAAATATTAGGAATTTCTCAACAACAAACTGACTCTCCGGTTATTCCCCTAGTAATCGTCGGTTCCTTATTTCTTTCTTTAATTGCTGCCTTGATTTGACTTTATCAGAAGCAAAGACCGAACAAGAAATTAGCCAAATAAAAGCGAGAGAAAGTTTGCTCGAAATTAGAAGTATTTTTCTAAATATTTAATGACCGACTGAGCGGCAATGGCTCCTTCGGCTACTGCCGTAACAATTTGTTTAATTTTGTTTTGATTGGCTCGAGCCACATCACCAGCCGCAAATAAACCTGGCACCATGGTCGAACAATCATCTTTAATAGTGATATAATCTTGTCGGTCGCAAATACTTAGTTCATGGACAAAGTTGCTAAATGGTAAAAGACCAACGCAAGGAAAAACGGCTCTAACTAATAATTCTTTCTTTTGATTATTTATTTTAATGATTACTTTTTCTACCACTTTTCTTTCTTTTTCTTCTCTCCCTTCGATTGCTAACAGTTGCGAGTTTAAAATTAAAATTATTTTGGGATTATTAATTACTTTGTCGCTAATTTCCTTTTCCGTCCGAAAACTATCTCGGCGGTGAACTAAATAAACTTTGGTCGCAATATTAGTTAAATATAAAGCAGTTTCCAAGGCGGAATATCCGCCACCCACTACTACTACCGCTTCTTCGCGGAATAGAAAGCCATCACAAATCGCACAATAGGAAACCCCTCAATTGGTAAATTTTTCTTCCCCCTCTATTCCTAACTTATTTTCAACCGCACCGGAGGCAATAATAACTGTTCGGCTAGCAATAGTATTTCCTTCATTTGTTTTCACAATAAACTCCTTTTCTTTTTTTTCTAATTTAATCACTTCTTCCTGCTTTCAATCAATCTTATAATATTTAGCGTGTTCGGTCATTCTCTCAGCCAATTCAGGTCCTTTAACCGAGGTAAAGCCCGGATAATTATCAACGTCAGCAGTTTTATTTAACTTTCCACCAGCTATCGCTTTTTCGCAAATTAAGGTTTTTAATAAAGCTCTTCTAGCATAAACAGCCGCCGTTAAGCCAGCTGGTCCAGCTCCGATAATAATCAAGTCATAGGTCGTCATATAAAAATATTTTACCGCCCGAAGTTAATAAAGTTAATCAGGATAAAAAAAATGAGTAAATGAAAGAAAATAACAATGTCAAAAATGGTAATTAGAAGAAAAAAAAGCAGTTAAATTAGTAAAAGTATTGATTATCAATGGTAAAATAATTTAATGAATATGATAGAATTTGACAAAACGGAATTAGCGAAATTAGGGGTGCAATTTGGTAATTTAATTCGTTGACGTAATCCCCGCATGCAACCTTATATTTACGAACGACGTAGCAAAATACATATTCTTGATTTAGAAAAAATTATTAATAGTTGTCAAGCAGTAAGTAATTATCTAAAATCATTAATCGAACGAAGAAAAAAAATTTTATTTTTAGCCACCAAAAAGCAAACCCAGGAAATTGTCAAAGAGCAGGCTATTAAATGTGGTATGCCTTATATCGTTAATAAGTGAAAAGGCGGATTTTTAACTAATTTTCCGGAAATTAGCAAGAAATTAAAAGAATTGCAAGGATTAAACAATTTTCTTCAAAAAGACACTTTCAAAAATTTAATCAAAAAAGAGCAGGCAAGTTTAGAGAAAAGAAGAAATAAATTGCAAAACATTTACGAAGGAGTAATTAATTTACGCGGAAAACCGGATGCTTTGTTTATTATTGGACTAAATAAAGAAAAAACCGCTTTACGAGAAGCCAAAAAAGCCGGAATTCCGGTTATCGCAGTCTGTAATACTAATTGCAATCCTTATTCCGTAGATTATGTGATTCCGGGTAATGACGAAAGTATAAAGTCGATTAGTTTTTTCGCTAGTCTCATAGCAGATGCTATTAATGAAATTGGCGAAAATAATGGCAAAGAACAAGAAGAAAAAATCGGAGAACAAGAGTAAAATCAATTTACAATCTTATATTTTAGTAAAATAATTTTTTTTTGGGACTTAAAATAATAATATATAAATATACCTACATATATTAGTAATTTTCATTAGTTATGTATCTAAAAGAAAGTATTTAATTAGTCAGTAAAAATAACAATGACCAAAACAATCAAACCTATAAACAATTCTTCACGGAACACCATTCTTATCGATTATCGGGAGAAATTAACGCCTAATCCCGGCCAAACTCCCCGGCAACTTTTACAGATAATTAAACCTCAGTCCGGACGGAATAACCAAGGGCGAATTACCACTCGCCACCAAGGAGGAGGTCATAAAAGATATTATCGCATTATTGACTTTAAACGTTATGAGAATGACGGAATTGTTGGCAAAGTAAAAAGTATTGAATATGACCCCAATCGTAATTGCTTTATCTCGCTAATAAGTTATCAGAACGGTAGTTTTGCTTTTATAATTACTCCTGAGGGATTACAAGTCAATAACGAAATAATGAGTGGTCCGGACGAAAGCACCCCGCTAAAAGTAGGTAATAACTTGCCTTTACATGCCATTCCGGTTAATACTCCTATCCATAATTTAGAATTAAAACCCAAAAAAGGCGGTCAGTTACTTCGCAGTGCCGGCACTTATGGTGAAATAGTTGGTAAGGAAGAAGGCAATAAATATGTCTTAGTGAAATTGATGTCGAAAGAAGTGCGGAAAGTATTAGCCAATTGTCGGGCGACCCTTGGTAAAGTAAGTAATAGTGAAGCCAATTTAGTCCGGTTAGGCAAAGCCGGTCGTAGTCGCTGGCGTGGTATTCGTCCGACCGTGCGTGGTTCTGCTATGAATCCCGTCGACCATCCCCATGGCGGTGGTGAACAAAAGGCCGGAATTGGTCACCCTTCACCGCTTAGTCCCTGAGGTAAGAAAACTCTCGGTAAAAAAACCCGCAAAAAAAATAAACCCTCCAATAAATATATTGTCCATCAGCACAAAAAATAAAATAATATGCCCCGCTCGTTAAAAAAACAGTTATTCGTTAATGAAAAATTACTCAAAAAGATAGAAAAAGCCAACCAAGAAAATAAAAAATCCGCTTTTAAAACTTGGGCTCGTGGTTCAGTCATTAGCCCGGAAATGATTGGCCACACTTTACTTATTCATAACGGCAAAAAATTTCTTAGTCGCCAAGTCACCCCTGAAATGGTAAATCATAAAATTGGTGAGTTTGCTCCAACTCGGCAGTCCGGTCAACACGGAAAAGCCGGAACTCGGTAAAAAAATTAATTATTTTCTCCCTCTTTCTAAATAAAATCAAATTAAAGAAATGTTAATACCAAAAAAAACTAAATATCGTTATCCGCATCGGACCAAATATGAAGGTCAAGCCAAAGGCAATAAGCAAGTTAATTGGGGACAATTCGGCTTACAAGCCCAGCAAGGTGCCTGAGTAAGTAATAAACAAATTGAAGCGGCACGGAAAGTAATTAGCCGTTATACCAAAAAATTCGGTAAAATGCGAATTAATATTTTTCCCCATCTCTCCAAAACCAAAAAACCACTGGAAGTTAGAATGGGTTCCGGTAAAGGTGCTATTGATAGTTGGGTAGCGGTAGTTAAACAAGGCACGGTAATGTTTGAAGTAAGTGAATTAGACCGCGAAATAGTTTATAAAGCTTTAACCCAAGCCAGTCATAAATTGCCTAAAAATAATGGTGAAGCCAAAGTTAAATATAAAATCATTGAAAGAAATGGAAATGAATAAAAAAGAAAAAGTCGAAAAAAAGGAATTAGCAAAAGAAGAAATATTAGCCAAATATCGTGCTACCTTAACCATTTTACAAATGAAAAGCAAAATGGGACAAGTAACTAAAACACACCAAATAAAGAAAATAAAAAAAGAAATTGCCCGTTTACTTACGAAAAATAATAAAAAAGTATTTAATAAATAAAAAATTAATATGAGTCAAGTATTCACCGGAACAGTAATCAGTTTAAAAAATGCTAAATCCGCCACTGTAGAATTAGTTTTTATCAAACTACACCCTAAATATCACAAGCAAATCAAAATCAAAAGAAAAATCCAAGCCCATAATGAAGACTACCCTTTACAATTAGGCGATAAAGTGGTAATTAAAAGTAGTCGACCCTATTCAGCCACTAAAAGATTTTTAGTAATCAAAAAAGAGTAATTGATTATAAAATTTTATACTTTTGCTTTATTTTTCTGTTTTTCTCACTCTTTTAGAAAGAATTCCAAGTTTTCTTTAATAACCCCCCTCCTCTCTCTATTTTGTTTTAACATGTTCTTCAATTTCTTTTAGTTTTATTTCGTCTTTTGATATTCAGAATGATGTTTCACAAATGTGAACTTTTTTTATATTTTAGTAAAATAATTTTTTTTGGGACTTAAAATTATATATATAGGAGAGAGGGTGTAATATATACATAACAGGTATATCACATATATATAACTCTCTAGCGAAAAGAAACTACAATAAACTCAGCATTGCCTATTTTTGCCCAAAAAGAAAAAGCCTAACAACAAAAATACAAAAAAAAATAATGCGTAAAAAAAGTATCATCAAAAAACATCCCAAAACTCCGGACCACAAATATTCGTCAGTGGTGGTTACCCAATTAATTAATAAAGTCATGAAAGACGGTGAAAAAAGAAAAGCCACCCAAATAGTTTATCAAGCCGCGGAAATAATCGAAAAGAAAACTGCCACCTCTTTTTTAACTATTTTAGAAGGAGCCGTCAGCCAAGTCAAACCCGCACTAGAAACCCGTAGCCGCCGAATTGGGGGCGGAGTTTACCGAATGCCAGTCAAAGTGGAACCCGCCCGGGCTCTCACTTTATCTTTACGCTGAATGGTCGAAAGTGCCCGCCAGAAAAAATCTTCTAATTCGATGTTTGAAAAGTTGGCTGAGGAAATTAATAACGCTTATCAAGGCACCGGGGAAGCTTTCAAAAAGAAAGAAAATATTCGCAAGGAAGCGGAAGGTAATCGAGTTTTGGCTTATTAATAAAGTAGCAAGTTTGCTTTTAATTTAAATATAACATATTATATAAAATTTTACCAAACTTCTCGATACTTTTAAAAAAGATATGAAAATTATAGAATAGCAACATGAAAGAACTAATACTAATAAAAACCAACGAAAGCGAGAAAATAAAAGTGCCCTGCTCGACCAAAACAAAACTGATTACGAGATTGTTTACCAGGACACAATTTCTTTAACCGAGGAGGAAATATGAAAACGGGATATTCTACTGGCAAATAAGGATGAGGTAAGAAAGAAAGAAATTGCTGACTGGGACAAAATAAGCAAAGTTAAGGATAAACAAGGTTGATAATGGCAGAGAAGTTATATAGGCACGGAGAGAACTTTATTGAGTGAAATTTGGGCACGGAAGTAAGAGGTCCACGACCAGGACTAATAATTTCCGATAATTCTTAATTAGTAAAAGAGTTATTGTCTTGCCTTGTTCGTGCACTCTGGACCCGCTTTATTCTTTTGAATTGTTTGTCCCGCAATTGGTTAAAGATATCAATAAATCCAGTGTATCGATAAAGAAAGGATTGGGAATAAAATAAGAAATCTAACGGTTGAGGAAATGAATAAAGTTGTGGATAAACTACGAAAAATTTTACCTTTAAGGGAATTATTGAAAGCCAAATTATAATGACAATCATCGCTTTTATCAGCCAAAATATACTCTGACTCAAGCCTTAGCCAGTGAAGCCAAAAAATAAAAAAGACCAAAATGTATTTTACCATTGCCGAAATTTACCAAAAAACTACTGAACTAAGCCAGTGTGAAAAAATTCAAGTTAGTGGCTGAGTAAAATCAATTCGCCACCATAAATTTATTGAACTTAATGATGGCTCGTGCTTAGCAAATCTGCAAATTGTTTGTCCTGCTGACTTGGTCGACAAGATAAAGCAAATTAACTTTGACAGTAACTTAATAGTGAGTGGGAAATTAGTTGTTACTTCGCAACGGCAACAACCTTGCGAATTACAAGTTAGCCAAATTGAATTTATTAATCCAACCGCCACCGATTATCCGCTCCAAAAAAAAAATATTCCGCTGGAAGTAGTTCGTAAGTTCCCACATTTACGAGCCAAAACTAATTATTTTTTAGCCATTTTTCGCTTGCGTCATAGTATTAGCAAAGCCATTCACGATTTTTTCCACCAGGCTGGATTTTATTACGTTCCTACCCCAATTATTACTAGTAATGATACCGAAGGAGCCGGCGAACTATTTAACGTTACCACTAATGAACAAGAACTTTTTTTTTCTAAACCAGCCAAATTAACCGTCAGCGGACAATTACAAGCTGAAGCGTTGGTTCAAGGATTAGGCAAAGTTTATACTTTTGCCCCCTGCTTCCGAGCCGAAAAATCTCACACTACTCGCCATTTAGCTGAATTTTGAATGGTGGAACCGGAAATGGCAGGAGCGGACTTAGAATCAATAATTAATTTAGCCGAAGCCTTAATTAAATACGTAATCAACTATATTCTGGCTAATAATAATGTGGAACTAAATTATTGCGAAAATTATAATCAAGAAAACAAAAAGGAGATAATTAATAAATTAAAGAAAATTAGTCAGGATAAGTTTATCCGATTAGATTATGCCCGCGGTATCGAAATACTAAACCAGGCCCCCGCCAGTTTTGTTTTTAATGATACTCAGTGAGGTAGTGATTTACAGTCCGAACACGAGAAATATTTGTGTCAACACTTTAATAGTCCGGTTTTCGTTACTAACTACCCCCGCCAGTTAAAATCTTTTTATATGAAAAATAATTCGGATGGGAAAACCGTCGCTTGCTTTGATTTATTATTTCCGGACCTCGGCGAATTAATTGGCGGCAGCGTGCGGGAAGATAATTATCAAACTTTACAAGAAAAAGCCCAAAAAATAGGTTTAGATACAAATAATTTAAGTTGATATTTTGACTTGCGAAAATACGGTTATGCACCAAGTGGCGGTTTTGGCTTGGGCTTAGAAAGATTGGTAATGTTGATTAGCGGCAGCGAAAATATTCGGGATACCATTGCTTTTCCTCGTTATCCTAAACATTTGGAATTCTAAAAGTAGGCAAAAATAGGATTGTTAGTAACTAATAACGTTATCACATTAAAATATTATATTATGGAAAGAAACCTAGAAATCAAACAAACTCTAAGCATCACTTTACCAATTAATTTATATCAGCAACTACTCCACGAAGTAGGCAAAGGTAAGATTAGCAAATTTATTCAGGAAGTAGTAGCGGAAAAACTAGACCAAGAAAAAAAAGAATTAGGTCAAGCCTATCAAGAATGTTATGCCAATAATTCTCACTTACTAAAAGAAGTCCAGTCATGAGAGCAAGCTCAAAATGAGGACTGAGTAAACTGAGAAAAGAGACCGAGGAATAAAAAGCAAAAGTAAAATGGCGGAAAAGTTAATTAGACGCGGTGAAATTTATTGAGTAAATTTGCCCTTACTAACTAAAAAAGAAAACATTCGCGAATTGCAGGGTCAACGCCCCGCACTGGTTATTTCTAATGACGAGCAAAACAAATATAGTCCGCTGATAACTATTTTACCCCTGACTAGTCACGTAGACAAGATTTATCCTTTTCAAGTAGAAAGTTATTTACAAAAGAAAAAAGGAGTGATTATGGTTGACCAAATTAGAACCATTGACCGGAAAAGGTTTGGGAATAAATTAGGAGAACTAGATAAAGAAATGATAGAAAAAGTAGAGAAATCTTTACATATTACTTTAGCTTTGAAAAATTAATAGCAATTATTAAAACTAAATTAATATATGACTAGTAATTTGAAAACTTTCTTTCAAAATCTTCAAAAGCGCGGAGTAATTGCTAATCAGGCTAATTTAGAAAATAATTTTTATCAATTAAAACCTAGCGAAAGAGTTATTTACTTCGGAATAGACACCACGGCCGAAAGTTTACATATCGGTCATTTATTTCAACTTATTCAGACTATTCGTTTTGCCAAGGAGGATTTTACGGTGCTGCTAGTTTTAGGAGGTGCTACCAGTAAAATTGGCGACCCTAGTGATAAATTAAAAGAACGACCCCAATTAGCGGCGGAAAAACTAAGCCAATGTTACGAAAAAATAAGAAAACAATTGACTCGTCTAGTAGTTAGACCACTCACCCAAGAAAAAATAAAAGAAGTAGAATTTGCTCCCTTAGAACTATTTTACGCGGATAATCCGGAATTATTGGTTAATATTTACAAAATACTAGAAATAAACGATAAGAGTAAAAAGGCAGAAAAATGAGAAAAATATTTAAATTATATTTGACCTTTAAAAGAAAATAAATATAAAATACTGAATAATAATGACTGGTTAAGCAAAATGAGTTTTGTCGATTTTATTGATAAAGTGGGGCGTAATATTAGCATTAATTATTTATTAGCCAAAGGAACCATTAAACAAAGATTAGAAACTGGTTTATCTTATTTGGCGTTTAGTTATTCGCTCTTACAAGCTTACGATTTTTATTACTTATATGAAAACTATAATTGTTGCGGACAAGTCGGTGGGAGCGACCAATGAGGCAATTTAACGACCGGATTAAAATTAATTAGTAGCTTTTACCCCAATGATGAGACTTCGGAAAAGAAAAATAAATCTTTTGCTTTTAACTTTCCTTTGCTAACTGATAAGGAAGGCAAAAAATTTTCTAAAAGTGAAAGTAGTAAAAATACCTTATTATTAAATAGCAATCAAAAAGATTTTTATGATTTTTTTCGTAATATGCCCGACCAACAAGCTCAAATATTTATTAAGCAATTTACTTTCTTAGAGCAAGAACAAATTAACGAATTAATAAAGTTAAATAATCCGCCTAAATTAAGAATATGCCAACGAATATTATATGAGTTGGTTTATTGGCTTAATTATGGAGAAATCGGAAAATACATGCCTGGTTAAAATAACATTATAGGAAGAGTAAATATTATTTAATAATTTTCTTTTTAGATGATAATAATCCGAAATTATTGGCGTGATAACGATTTACCCAACCGACAAATTATAAACTGTAAACTATGTAAATGTGTAAAATATATATATCAGACCTAGACATCCTATTAGAATTAGATAATTACGAGATAAATTAAAATAAATTAAAATAAATTAAAATAAATTAAAATAAATTAAAATAAATTAAAATAAATTATGGCAAAATCAAGAGTACAAATTAAAAATATAAATGCTAGAGCAACAGTCGGTGGCACCGATAATAAATTCCTAACTATAAATGTTTCCAATGTTGCTAATAACATTGTGATACAAAACCAAAACGGCAATGCCAATTTAGCGAATGTTCGATACAATAACGCAAATGTTTCGGCTAATGCAAATGTGGCTAATTTACGGTCAGTAATTATTGAATTCGATAGCGAAAGAGAAGCGGTAATAGCACAAAATTTATTAAGTCTGAAAAATGTAAATCGAAGTAACGCTATTGATGCTCATAACGGTTTTTACATAGAAAACTTTAATTACGACCACGATAAACTACCTTTTACTGCGAACGATTTTACTACTCATACTAGAATTCAAAATGGTTCACAAACAACACTTCGATTAAAAGCTGGTGATGACTTTACTGCGAACGATTTTAAAATTGATAACGTTACTTTGGTCAATACAACAGCACCAGTAACAAATGATGATTTATCTGCTTGGAAAACTAGATTAGTCGAATTAGAAACTGCTCTGAATGAATTGTCCGATTATTACAAACCAGGTGCGTTGTTGCGAGACGAAACTAATAATAGAAAATTGCTAAGCGATATTAAAACGGCGGCGGTGGCCGGAACAGCAAATATAGACCGTGCTTTATGGAATTTAGATGACAAAAATCCCACTGCTGGTGCTGGTACTAATATTTATCAGGCAAGAATTAACCGCTGATTAAAACTTTTTGACGAATTTGATGTTTGAAGGTCGTCGGAAATTGGCTTAACTACTATTGACCAAATATTAAAGGCGAACGCGAATGAAATTTTGATAACTCAACGAAATGGCGGAACTGCTACTGCTACTATTGGTGATGGCAATATTGCACCTAATCATGCCAATATAGCAACTATAAAAACTGCTCTCGCTGGAGGAAGATATTTAGGCTTTTCGCTTGACATTGACCAAGAACAAGAAGTTGCTAAGGCGGATGGAACTGGTCTTGGCAATCCGCTAAATACGGCAGCGGTGACTGACCCCAGCCTGTTTATTGGTGAAGATAACAACTCTACTGGTTATGCGGCAACTGCTTCTGACAAATATACTAAGAGAATTATCGATGATTTCCGCCATATACAAAATTTCCCCTATAAAGCTGGCACTATCGAATTATTTACTTCGGAAAGACGGGAAGACAATCTCGGTTTTCAACCAGGCGACCTAGTATTAGGAACTCATGGTAGTTATCGTGGTCATGGTGTTGGATATGCACCTGATACTTCTCAACCCCACTCATTGGTGAATAATGGCCTTAAAGATGAAACTAAAATCATGGTTGACATTAAAGAAGCTGATACTCTCAATAAAGCTATTGATTTAGCCTTTTTTGGGATAGATTACACCGCAGTGAATACCACTGCAATCACTACTGCAGCCTTAAAAAAAGATAATCAACAAGATTATCTCTACTTTAATGAACGGAGTGATAAAAACGAATTAGAAATGTTAAATTATTACTATGAAGTTTTTGATAAAGCTAACGCTGGTACTCCGGTAAAATTGGGTTGGGATGATACGGCAGCTAACGGCGGAAAAGCCAAAATTGATGCCGGAAAAACAGCAATAGAAACATTTCTTAAAATTTACACTTTTGATTACAGTAGTTGTACCAAAAGCCAAATTAGTGAATTAGATACAAAGAAAACCGAATTAGAAGCTTATAAAAATCCAGCCAGTACTGATGTTTACAAAACGAAGATTTGAAATCACTGGAAAGAGAAAATTACTAACCGAATACAAGAGTTTAGTGACAAAATAATCGAATTAGAAAGACTTGGTCCGACTGATAATTGACAAACTAACCTAGCAAATTTGAAAAAAGAGGAAAATATAACTAATTTAACCCAAGACGCTAACACTAAAGCATTCTTTAAAGCCAAAGGAGATGAAATTACCACGGAAAAAATATATAATGAAGTTATAAATTTATTACAAATATTAGTCAGTGCTGATAATGATTCGGCAAACCCAAAAAAATATCTATCGGATTTAACTAGTTTTGAATCAGCCACGACAACTGGGGATAAAAAAACTGCCTGAGATTTAGTTAATAGTCACAAAAGTGATTGAATTTCCGGAGCCAAAACTAAATTACAAACCCGCGAAAATGATGAAAAAGATGCCGCTTGACTTGCTCTAAAAAGTGCGATTAACAGTGCTGATGGCTTAAAGGACGCTGATTATATTACTATCAAAACCGAATTAGAAAGTAAAGGTGCTGATTCAGCCATGATTACTGCGGTCAAAGAAATAGTGGAAAATGCTTCAGCAGCTTGAAAGACCGATACTTTTAATGAATCGGTTCGCGACAAGTTAACTACCTTAAAAGCAAATACAGTAGCCTGAGCTTCCGTAAACAAAGTTAAGCATGACACTAAGCAACAAAATTATGCTGACGGAGCGTTAGCCAAAATGAAGAAGGAAGATACAGAAATAGAAACTTTATGAGAAGCCACAAGGACAGCTGATTCCTTGACGAAATTCGGCGAAGAAAAAGAAAAATTTCTAAACAGTGCTAAATTTAAAGGGTTAGAGGTAGGAGACCAAAAAGATTATAAAGAAATCTATATACCTTTAGCCGAAGCCGCGGTTAAAATAAGAGCCAAAGCAACTAAGACAAAAGCCGAGGAAGATTTAATTACATTAATTTTGTCTAGAACCCGTGATTTCGAACCCACTAAAAAGTCTGAATTAGAAAAAACAATTAAAGACTTAAGAAGTTACAAGGAGGGTAGTGATACTGATAAAAAAACTGCTTATGAGGAAAATATTAAAGGTGAATATGCAACTCAGTACGACCAATTAATTTCTAAGTTGGAAAATAAGTTAAGTGAACTTAATAAAAAGCCAAAAGATAATAATAATAATAATAATAATAACACAGAAGGCTGGTCCACAACTACTAAAATATTAGTATGAGGAGGTGCTTTAGTGGGAATAGCGTTACTTCTTGGTATTATTTACTACTTTATGAAAAGTAAAGAAACCGACGAAGAATAGTTGACAAATAATTAGTGGAGAATAGGGATAACCTCCCTTTCTCCCTAAATACTAAGAAAATTAAGTAATTTATTATTTAATTAGTTTAGATTTTAGTAAATCTAATTATTAATATACTTCCTTTTATACTTGCTAAAAAATAGTAGAGGTTTATTCTCTATTACCACTATTAGCAAAACTCTAATGTTGTGCTCGAAAACTTGACAAAAATAATTCATTCTTATATTTTTTTTATACTTTTATTGGTTCCTGCCTGGTAATGCATGAAGGAAAAATTTACTCAATAGAAATTATTAATTGAAAACACCTGAGACCAACCATTCAACCAGCCCTCCAAAAAGACTTAACTCCCATTTCGAATTTTCTTTTCGCTACAAGAAGAAACAAAATACTAGACCTTAGAATATCCTCCAATCTTAGCAAAATTGAAAAATTTTATATATCCGACTCTCAGTTTTAATAATTTATCCACAGACATAATTGATAAATAGTTCTTTGTATTTTCTTTTTTTCCTAGTAAAGAGTATTTTTTTAATCTCATAACCGAAAATTACTTGCTTTTCCCCTTAGTTTTTTTCTTGGGTGTATTTTCCTTAGCCAGAGTTCCTTTTTATTGTTTTTTGCCTGATAACTTATTAAGCAAGCACTTTTGTTCTGACGAAAAAATATTCCCAACCTAATAGTCAATTAGGTAGGAAATAAACCTCAACTTTCACTCTTCTCCTATTTATTTATCCTTTTTCCTGCTCTAAAGGTTGGTAATAAGTTCTTTATTTTGCTTCAAGGGACAGAAATAATTAACTAGATAATGTTATCTACAAAAATAAAATTAAAAGTTAGAAAAAGAATACCGTTAATGACTAAACGAAATAGATTTAATTATTCAATAAAAAAGTACTTTTTCAAAACTTCGGGGATAATTAATTTATTTTCTTTTTCCTGATAATAATATTCGCACAAAATAATAATTAAGCGGTCAATGGCTAAAGCAGAACCATTAAGCGTGTGAGGATAATATTTTTTGCTTTCTTTACCCTTTACTCTTATTTGAGCTCGGCGGCTTTGAAAATCTTCACAATTACTACAGGAAGAGACTTCTAATCACTTCTTACTAACTGGTAATCAAACTTCAATGTCATAAGTTTTAGCGGCGGTAAATCCTAATTCCTTATGACAAAGTTCAATTACTCGGTGGGGAATTTTTAACAAGTGGAGAATATGGCGGGCATCGGCTAATAATTTTTCTAATTCCGCATAAGAATTTTCGGGTTTAACTATTTTGACTAATTCTACTTTATGAAATTGGTGTAAACGAATTAAACCTTTATTTTCTTGCCCGGCGGCCATTCTTTCGGCTCGAAAACAAGGACTATAAGCACATAAATTCAAAGGCAAGTCTCCTTCGGTTAATATTTGCTTCTGATAAAGATTAACCAAACTTACTTCAGCGGTGGGAAGTAGGTAAAAATTGTTCTCCTCCAATTTATAAAGATTATCTTGAAATTTGTGGAATTGTCCGGTATTATAGAGATTACCAGCCTGGACTAAATAAGGAGTATCGAATAAACGATAACCGCGTTTGCTATTTTCGAACCGCATGAAATTAATTAGGGCATGTAATAAGTGACTACCGAAGCCTTGATAAACCGCAAATTTACTGCCGGAAAGAAGTAGGCTTTTTTCTTCGTCAATTATCGCTAACTTTTTTAATATTGCTTCGTGAGTTAATTCATGTTTGATATCATGTTGATACTCTGTTTTGTCAATGATTCTATTACCCTCTTTATTAGTCGGAGTATCAAGGGCAGGAAGATTAGGAAGTTGACTAGTTAACTCGTTCAACTCTTTTTCTAAATCGTTCAACTCTTTTTCATATAAGGCAATTCCCTCTTTAATTTTCTTGACTTGTTCGGCGTTTTTTTGACCTTCCTGGCTTAACTGGTTTCGCTTTGAGCGTAAATTATTAACTTTGGCAATTAGTTCTTTTTGTCTAATTAACTTTTCTTTAATAACTAATAATTGTTCCTCGCTTATTCCGCGTGGTTCTAAACGCCTAACTAAATCGGCAAAATCAGTAAAAAATTTTGGTAAATCTAACATTTATTTTTTCTATATACTATTGATTTTTTGCCATTTTTGATATATATATATATATATATATGAATTATCTATTAATACAATATTTTAAAAATGGTCGGAAAGGCGAGATTCGAACTCACGATCCCCTGGTCCCAAACCAGGTGCCTTGCCGCTAGGCCACTTTCCGTTAATTAAATTGTTTTAATAATTCGGCTAGAGTAGGAATCATTTCTTTTTTTTTGTAATTCTTCCATTTTCATATAAACTCACTCGCTATTTACTTTGTTAGGTTCCATAACTTTTGGTTCTCCCCTTGCTTCCACTTGGTAAATCGAAACATTAAACCACTTGATTAATAAATTATTTATGGTTATGATTTCCAAATTAGTTTCTTCTTTAACTTCTCGTCTTAGAGCCGATAAACAGTCTTCGCCCACTTCAACCTTTCCACCAGGGATTTGTCATTTGCCTGGGTATTCTTTGCTATCTAGTGCTCTTTGTGAAACTAAAACTCATCCGTGCTTATTTTGAATGATAGCCGCCACCGACTCAGGAAAATTATTAAAAATAAATTTATTTCTTCCAACCCTTTCTTTATTCATATTCTCCTTAATGAATTTTACTCGCTAATTTATCCTCTAAAAGGCTTTTTAAGTTTAACGCTGAATCTTTAATCGAAGAATTGTCTTGCGGAAAAATAATTAGTTCTATCCCTTTTTCAGCACATAATTTTTGGGTTGCTTCCAAGAGAAATTTTTGGGTTTCGAAATTTTTCATAAAATCCTCGTCCTGGTCAGTAGGACGACTTCGTGCTTTTAAAAACTCTAACCAGTCGTGGTGATTAATTTCGAAAAAAACCACCACATCCGCATCGGGCAGAACATCCTTATCGATTTCGGCAATTTGCTTCATAGCCGGAAAATATCGGTCCGAAGGTGAAATTAGCCAACGCATACAATACTTATCAATATAATAATATAATAATTTATCATAATAAGTATCAATAAAAACCGTTTCTCCTTCTTCACTTAACTTTTGGGCTTCTAATAGCATTGGAACTCGGATGGAACGAAATCACATCAGCATAGAAAAACTCCCATAAGTTTTCCAATCTTTAGCCGCATCCGCTCATTTTTCTTCTTCCGGTTCAGCAAAAAAATGTTTAATATTTAACAATTCAGCCAACTCTTTCATCGTAGTAGACTTTCCCGAACCTGGAATACCAACAAATACAATTAACATAAATATATATTTAAATTTCTTTGGCGGAGATAGAGGGATTTGAACCCCCGCGGATTTTACTCCCTAACAGTTTTCGAAACTGCCCCCTTCGGCCACTTGGGTATATCTCCCTTTAAGTAGTTTTTAACATATTTTTAAAAATATAAATAATAATGCTTTGTAGAAAATGTCAGAAAAAAATACCGAGGGGAGAAGAAGTTTGAAAAAAAAGAGCCCCAATTTGGTGAAATAGTTATAACCATAATAGGTGATGATTTTATTCGGGATACTTTTGTAGAAAATGTGCTGTCAAGACAGATAAAAACAAAATATTTTTGCTAAGTTTTTTGTTGTACTGATTATTCATTGTTATTTTTTCAGTATGGATTACACTTTTTATTATCTAAAAATTTCTAACTTGCTCCGGTAATTCAGTGGACTAGAATGCTCGTTTCCTAAACAAGTCGTCGGAGGTTCGAATCCTTCCCGGAGCACCATTTATATTTATAACTAATTCTGATAAATACTGGTTATTTTTAAGAAATTAAATAGGCATTCTAGACAAAAACTTAATTAACTTACCATTATGCCAAAAATAGGTCTATATGAATTAATCAAAAAAACTAGTCAGCAAAAGGGGAGAAAGTTAAGGATTATTTGTGATTGAGATGAAACCATTCAACCGTTAAAGCCAATGGCAATTTATGAAAAAATTGTTAATCCTGCTTTACCTTTTAAAGATTTTTTTGTTGACTTTTGGGATAAAGTTATTTTTGATTCTCCTCACCCTAGTGGTGGTCCTAGTGGCGATAGACCCTCAAAAAATTATTCAGAGCATTATGAAGGAGACGAAAAGGTAAAAGAAGCTATTAAGAAGTTTGACAGAGAAAAAATAGAGATAAAAACTAGTTCTGATAAATGAGGTGCTTATGCTAAAAGTTTTTATGGTCGACCGGAAAGATACCAAGCCCCTTTTTTGTCTATAGGTGAGGAATTACTTTTGGCTGCCAAAGAAAATTATGTAGATAAGATTTATATAATAAGTTCCTATAATGAGGGGAAACCTGGCATGATAGCAGGTGCGGCAAAGCAAAAGAAACAATGAGGAACTTTCGGTCAACTTCCTATTACCACAGTGGAATATACTTCTATGGAAAAAAAAGGAAAAGAGGGAGGAAAACGAGTTGCTACTAACTTGCGATGAGATGTTATTAAAGATAAATTTTCTGATTTTGATATTTTTATTGATGATAGCACAAAAGCAATCAAAGAAACTATAAAATATTTTCCTGACCGAATTTATGTATTACCTGACTATAAAACCCTCCATGTCTTCAATGAATCACCTAATATCTACTACGTTAAAAACATTGTCTCTGACCTTAAAGATGAAGACTTTGCTCTGGCTGCTTTAGAAATGAAAACTAAGCAGTTAGAAGAGTTAAAACGCCAAAACCGAGAGAGAGAGAGAGAGAGAGAGAGTTTATTAAAAAAACCCAGCACTTACTTGATTTTTATTAGTGGGGCAAGTCTAACTCTCGTGGGAGTTTTGATTCTGTGGGCAATGAAAAAAAGGAAAAAAAAGCCTTAGTGTAAAGATTTAATATTACTGATAAGTAATCTCTTTTAGTCTTTTGTTTAGTCGTTGAAAACCGCTTTGAAATAAATTAATAGTTTCTCAAAAAAAGGCTTCTTGCGGGTCTTGGGGAAGATAAACTTTGACATTAACCAAGGTTTTAATTTTGGTTAAGGCTTCTAAATAATCCGACCAAAACCGGTCAACTTCTTTCACTAATCGAACTCGCAAATATTCTTGCTCGACCGGAATAAATTGGGTTGCTTTGGCTTTTTTTTTCTTCTTTATTACTTTGGTTAAGTCCTTAGCACTTAGCAATTTATTACGATAATTATAAATCGACTTTCTTTGGCGGTTAATTAATAAGTCATAATTAAGTGCGTTTTGCCGTCGTTCGGCATCCACATTACGTAGAGTTTCTTGGGGTTCGGAAATGACAAAGTTAAATATTTTGCCACTGAACGGGCGATGAAAGAGTTCTTTTAATTGTTTTTGGCTAAGAAAACCCCCCACTTTTTCCTTAATCGCAAAATTTTTCACTAATTCATCTTCCAACGAAACATAAAATTGGCTTTCGCCAGGGTCGCCTTGTCGTCCCGACCGTCCACGTAATTGATTATCAATGCGACGGCTGGTATTTCTTTCCACCCCGATAACTAGTAAGCCACCCGCCTTCTTACTTTCTTCACTTAAAATAATATCGGTTCCGCGACCGGCCATATTAGTCGAAATAGTAATGGCCCCTAATTGACCCGCTTGGGCGATTATTTCGGCTTCTTGTTGGTGATTAACCGCGTTTAATTTATAATGAAAAATATTTTCCTTAGTTAGGAGAGTAGATAAGTATTCGGAAATTTCCACGCTGGGTGAACCAATTAAAACTGGTCGCTGGGCGGTTTCACTATTCTTTTTGATTAATTTAATAATTGCTCGGTATTTATTTTCTTTATCTCAGAAAATCAAATCATTACGGTCTTTGCGAATTAACTTCCGATAAGGAGGGATAGCAATAACTTCCATCCCGTACACTTGGCGAAACTCTTCCGCTTCACTTTTGGCAGTTCCGGTCATCCCTGATAACTTGTCAAAAAGCCGGAAAAAATTTTGGAAAGTAATGGTTGCAATCGTTTTACTTTTAGTACTGACCGGCAAATTTTCTTTACTTTCAATGGCCTGGTGAATACCTGAACTATAAACCCGATTAGGCACCAAACGCCCCGTTAAAGCGTCAACTAAAACTATCCGACCTTTCTCTCGGTCAACAATATAGTCAATGTCTTTATAGTATAAATGCTTAGTTTTTAGTGCGTTATGAAGCAAAAAATTATAACGATGATTTGGAAAAGCAAACAAATTACTTATTTGATAAAACGCTTGGCTTTTTTTAATCCCCTGGGTAGTTAGCCAAATATCTTTTTCTTTTTCATCAACTTTATAATCTTTTTTTTCGGTCAGGGAATTAGCTAATTTAGTGGCTAATTGATACTCGGCCGGATGGATAACCCCCCCTCCACCGGTAGTTCGCTGGGAAATAATGAGCGGGTTTTGGGCTTCATCAATCAAAATTGAGTCAACTTCATCAATAATCGCATAATAATAATCTTGGTTAATCCTCTCTTGGCTATTAGTTACTAAATTATTCCGTAAGTAATCAAATCCTAATTCACTACTAGTAGTATAAATTACCGTACAGTTATGATATAAATTTTTCTTTTCCTCGGTGGAGTGAGTAGTTAAATTAACCCCAGAAGTAATTTGGAAAAAATCCAAAATTGGTTTGGCTAAACTTCAATCTCTTTGGGCTAAGTATTCATTAACCGTAACCACAAAAACACTTTGACCGGTCAAAGCATTAAGGCAAATCGGGAGAAAAGCCGTGAGAGTTTTTCCCTCACCGGTATTCATTTGGGCAATATTGGCATAATGTAAAGCAATGGCACCTAATACTTGGGTCGGAAAAAGTAATAAACCAGTTTTTCGCCGAATAAGTTCTCGGGTCAGAACAAAAACCCTGACTAAATATTTATCTAATAATTTTTCTCGCTCTTTTTTTTTACTGGACTGAATTTTTTGCCGAAAATAATTAAATTTGGCTTGTAATTGTTGGTCAGTAAGTAAACTAGTCGATTTTTTTAGTTTAAGTATCCTACTCCGCAGAGTAGCAAATTTTTTTAAAGTATTTTTTTTTCAAAAATAATAAAACATATAATAATAAAAGTTTTAATACAATTAATATCATTACACCAAAGAAAAATTTTTCGGCGTAAATTGTTTAGAGTAGAGAAAGGGCGAAGTTTAATGAGTAAAGAGTTTACAACTTTTTCTAATAATTCAAGTTAAAACCTCAATTATTAGTATTAGGATAGGGAGTTTTTGAGGCTCCCTTGTCCTAATTTTGGCTAATTCTGTTGCTCAAATATATTATTTCTGTCTTTGTTCAATATAGGCTTGTAGTTCTCGCCAAGATTCATCTCTTCGGGCTCGGCTTCGTCTTTCATGCTCGTTTAATTCTTGCTTTTTCCTTTCCAAATCTCTTCTTAACCGATTTTCCCTTTCTGTGCTACAAGAATTAATCCGACCCTCGCTAGTTTGTCTTTGTTGATTTAATCTTTCTTCATCAATTCTTTTTTCTTGGTCTAAAATTTGCTGTTCTAGCCTTTCCCTTTCACGAAGTTCTCGGTCATTTTCTGCGTCTCGATTTCTTCTTTCTTGGTCCACTCTGTTAATTATCTCTTGTCGTTTTCTTTCTTGCTCGCTAATCGCTTCTTCCATTCTTCTGATTTTTTCGGTCGCTTGTTGAGCATTTTCTCTACTTCATTCTTCCAAAGTTAAAGTCCGAGCATTGCGTAAATTATAATTATAATCATTTGTTCCACAAGTCGGGCAGTAAATGTGCCCGATAAAACCGGTTCTATCACTAGGAATAAGGTAGCCCGATTCATCGTAAGATTGGATATTACTATCATGACCGCGAGAACAAACTGGTTTACCAACTCGAACATTATTACAACTATTCCTTATTTGGGCTAAATTGTTTTCGATGGTTCGGTTTATTTCTACTACTGTACTATTATGAGCCTCTTGCGACTTTCTTAATTGTGATTGATGAACCTCCTCGAATTCTTGGCGAGTATCTTGGAGTTTTTGCTGATTTTTAGATTTTAACTCTTGAACTTGCCGCTCGAAATTCCGCTCGGTAATTCTTAAATCGCGGACTTTTTCTTTTTGAATGTCATCTACTTCTTTTTGAAGTTTAGTTTCTTCCTCACGAATTTTTTGTTCTTTTAGCACCAATTCCTTCTTTAACGCTTCTTCATGAGTAGTATAGTTGTCAATTCTTTCATTAAGATTTTCTAAATCGGATGGGAAGTAATTATTCTGGCAAGTTGCTAAATAGGTTAATAATCTTCGGCGAGAAACTTCCCGAGTTTCTTTGGATGTTTGTGCGGAACGACCAATAATTGGCGGATTATCAACATAAACAATCTTGCTGGCTTTTAAGATTTCAAATATTTCCTGATTTTCTTCCTTCAATTCCTTTTCATCCTCATTACAAACATCATTATCTTCAAACTCCGGAAATCTAGTGCGAATGATAGTTGTATAGTCAACGACATCTTTATCAAAGAGAACTGATTTTAACAATTTATAAGTATTAATCTCCTCTTGAGTGAAGCGACCATCTGTCACAAAAAATATTTGATTCAAACCACTTTTTCTAATAATCTTAGCTATTCCCGATATTAGTTGGAGAATTTCCTTATTGTCTAACTGAGTATCACTAAATCCCGCAGTATCAATCACTAAATAATGTGACTTCTCTTTTCCATCCTTGCTTATATCTATTACAAATTTCTCAGTTTGAATATTTTTGGTTTGACTGATACTTCTGGAACTTTCTTTGAAAATTTCTTCAAATTCTCCATCTTTATTAACTAAAACATTGCCTAAGGTAGATTTTCCGCTTCCCGTTCTACCAATTAGGAGAATATTTTTAACTTCATTTTCCGCCTCTTCTGAATTATCGTCATTATCTTCCAATGATAAAGCAATTGCTTTGGCTAAAATTGTTTCTTCATCTTCTTCCTCAATATCAATTTGTAAATACTGTTGATATTGTTCCCTCATTAATTTATCATTACCATCCGAAGAAGAAATAAAGAGATAGTTTAAATAACCAAGCGGAGAAAATTCAAATATATCACGAATTCAAGACGCATATCCGCTGTCTTGGGGTTTTAAGCCAATTTCTATTCATTCCTTACATTGCTGATAAGAAAATCCTTTTTCTTCTCATTGCCTTTGTAATTTTTCAGTAAAATCTTTATGAATACTTTTCCGAAGTTCGTCCGATTTTTTCTCAATTTGCTCTATTTCTGAGTTCGCCAGTGCTAAGAACAAATCTTCCGCTTCTTTTTCTCGAGCCTTTTCTTCCTCTTTTTCTAATTTAACTTCCTCGGTCGCAAATCATTCCATAAATTCTATTAATAAACTAACATTCTCTACTTTTTTATTTTGGTTAGTTTCTCACTCATCTAATTTAGTAATTATTAATTGGAAATAAGTTTCGGTTAATTGACAAGAACCATCACCATAAATGTCTTCAACATTGACTGGCGGAGGCTCGGGCAAGTCAGTTCTGCCAGCACTGCGTAATCTTTGTAAATTTATTATAATTTGGCGAAATTCGGCTTCTTTTTGTGGCTCCTGCTGTCTTTCCTCCTTGGTTCTTTGATGATTAATAACTATGCTTTTTTCTTGGATGTCAAAATAAACTTGACAATCCTCGAATAATGTTTTTAAATGTTCGATAAATTCTTGGGTTGATTTCATATTTTTATAATATTTTTAATTTATTAATTCATATAATTTCTGTTATTTATTTTTAGACTTTCCCAACAAAAAAAAAACTACCAGCAATAGTATTATAATTACTACCCCGCCACCAATAATTAGTGGTCAGGGGAAGTCATTTTTTTTGTTTTGCCCGCCAGTAGTTTCTTTTTCTTTTAGTTCGTTTTTTAGTTTGTCAACTTCTTTTTTATTTTCTTGGCTAGTTGAAGAATTAGGACTTTGTTTGATTTGTTCTTCTAAGGTGTTAATTCGATTTTTCAGGCTAGTAATTTCTTCGCCAAGTTTATCTTTATCTTTCACAGGACCTTTGTAGGAAATTTTAACTGTTCCGGCGAACTCAGGTTTGATATTGAGGATTTCTAGTAAAGCATGGTCTCTATAACCTGGACTTGGTGGAAAGAAATCAATTTCTATTTTATTAGGGCCTTTCTCAGTTTCCTCTCCAATTATTGAAAAATTAACTTTCTCTTTTTCCCACCTTAGTTCAAAAGAAACATTATCATCATCTAATAACTTGTTATAAATCTTATCTTCTGCCCCATCCCAGAAAGCTAGTCTTATCTCTTCCAGATTGGCTTGTGGTGATATTTTCTCGGAAATTTTATTTAAGTTATCAGTAGTAAAAACCTTTAATTATTAAGCATTTAGCATTAGCCGGTATTTTAGGGTCAGAAATTTTTTCGACCCCAGTTTTCATAAAAGGAATTTTAATTTCAGTCATGACTATTGTTTATTAACGTTAGAATGAATTTTTAACCGGTCTCTTTCTTCATCAATTTTTATTCTAAAATCTATCAGACCTTTTTTTGCTTCCGAAAGATGCTTTTCACTAAAATAAGGCGGAAAATCCGCCTTGTCAGTTTTATCAATATCTTTAAAAATTTCCTTAATAACCCTTTCTGCCGCAGTTAATTCTTTTTTATCACTAGGAGATACTTGACTTCTCCCTCATTCATCATAAAATTCGCGAAGTTTATAAATAACAAAGACAAAATTCCCTACTGACAGTTTTCTAATTTTTTCGGTTAACTCATCTTTTTTGGTATTTTCCAATTTTTTTTTAGTCTCTAAAAACAATCTTTCAACTTCTTGAATACTTTTTGACTTGTCAATTTGGTTGCCATTCTTAATAAGTTCGAACTCTAAATCATTCATAACCACTCTTTAATTAGTAGTCATCAAGATTACTGCTTGGCTTAGGGAGACCTTGTCTTCAATTATCATCTCTGCCTATACCGAGAAATTTATTTTCTTGCTCTTGTAGATATGCCTTATTATCTACTTCCCATGCCTTTCATGCCGCATCCATTCGTGTCCTTTTTCTTTCTATTTCTTGACGTTTTGCTTCCGCTTGTTGCTCCTCTTTTCGACGAGCATTTTCGCTTGCTTTTTCAGCCTCTCGACGCTTATTTTCTCTTTCTTCTCTTTTATCTTCTCGTATTCGGTCATCAATGCGTTGCTGTTGCATCATTTCAATTATTTTGTCATTAGACGAACTACTTTTTTCATTCAAATCTTTTTGTAAACCATCAATTCGTTCATTATTTCGACGGTCTCGTTCCTCAGCCTCCCGTCTTTGTCGCTCGGCATCTTCTTTTATACTTTTCGCTTGTTGTTCGTAATTATTTTTCAATTCCTTAACTTTTTCTTCATTTCTTCGGTCATGCTCGACCATATCTCTACGATGAGCATCAGTCATTTCATTCTTAGTTTTGTGCAAATTCTCTTCACCTTCCACTTTGACATTATGAATGTCTCTTTCGGATTTTTCCCGCATTTCCTTTAATTCCTTGGCTTGCTGCTCTTTTAGTTCAGTCATTTCTCGGCGGAATTTTTCTTCTTGCTCTTTTCTAACTCTTTCATTTTATCTTTGAGTAATTGCTCGTTAGTTCTATACTCTTCCACTCTTTTATCCAAAGTATCAATATTACTTGGTCGGTAATTTCCTTGGCAAGTTGCTAAACGAGTTAATAATCTTTTACGAGACTCTTCACGAATTTCTTTATTAGCCTCAATATTACGACCTTTTAAAGGAGGGTTATCTAAATATAAAACTTTAACTGAATTAAGTATATGAGCCAGTTTCGGATTTTCTTCTCGTAATTCTCATCGGTCTTCATCACAAACTTCTTGGTCTTCGAACTCCGGGAAACCTACTCGCACCACTGTCGTATATTTCAGAACTTCCTTATCAAAGATAATAGAACTTAATAAGCCTCAATTTCCTCTTTAGTGAACCTTCCTCTGGTTATGAAAAGTATTTGATTTAAACCTTCTCTTTTAACCCGACTTAATACTCCTTGGGGAGTTAATTGAGTATCACCAAGTCCAATAGTATCAATTACTCGGTATTTTATTTTTTCACTACCATCTTCTTTTAAATCGATTTCTATTATCCCTTCCTCAATCTGTTTAGTTACACTAGTCGACTTTGCACTTTCAATAAACTTATTTTCGCCTACTAATACATTTGCTAATGTTGATTTGCCGCTACCCGTGCGACCTATTAATAATATATTTCTTGTGTTTACCATATTTATTTTAATTTCTATTATTTTTATTTATTTTTCGTATTTTTTAAGAATACTAACTTTATTTATTAAATAACAAAAACTAAATAATCAGTAACGAACAATAAATACTTAATTAATAGTAAATATGTTCTAACGAATAAGTTCGGCAACTAATCATTTAACTCTCGTTTTTTTTTTTTTTTTTTTTTGTAATTTAATAGTCTAAACGATAGAACGTTATGATTAAACGCTTTCTGCCATAACTCGCTTTGGACGGGCTACAAACTTCTATCAAACTACCAATTTATCAACTTTTTCTCCTCGTCGCTTTCTTGCTAATTAGTATATAATTTAATTACTAGCAAAATAATGCTTTTGGAGATAAACAGAACTGATATTCTTAATTCTTTATCATCTTATTTAAGTTTTATACAGTTTTATTTTCTAACTTGTTAATATTTTTATTATAAATAAAAGTTAATAACGCTACTCAGCACTAATTTTAGCAAGGTTGCTATTTATTAAAATTTTCTACTTCTTGCAAAAAGGAAGTTTCTTTCCGTTTCGTTTCTTTTTTTTCAATTTGGTTACAGACCTAAATATCATTTAGTAAATCATTTATACCTTTAATTGTTTTTCTAATTTCTCGGCTTTATTTTCTAATCATTTTCTATGCCTAATGCTATTTTGTTGAAGTGCCTTATTTCTTAATCTTGCTACCTCAATTTTTATTAATTCTGGATCAGATTCTCAGGAAAAAGTTGTTGCTTCTTTTTGCTTATTTGGTCTTTTCTCATTTTCTACTATTCATTCATCAATTCGTTTGATATTATATTCGGCTTCCCAAGTTTTAGAGTGAACTTTATCATGATGAGTCGCCAGTAATTCACTAATTTCTTCATTAATCAGAAAATTTTGAAAATCATTAGTTAATTCGCCGGTGGAAAAACTGATTAGATAGGTAATAGTTTTTGCTGAGGAAAAGTTTTCCTGAATTTTTCCTTGACGATAAATTTGCTGCTCTAATATTTTCTGTTGGTTAAGTAGTCTTTCGCGGGCTGAGTAATAAAAACTTTCGCTTCAATTTTTCACTTCAATAAAATAAATGTTATTTGGGGTTTCCAAGTAGATATCAATTTGCAAATCTTCTATTTCTTGCCAGTTTTTGATTAACTTTTCCAATTTAATTTTCTGGTTATTAGCCAAAAGTTGCCAGACTTCTTCTTCGCCTTTTTCACCAATTAGTTCGACCACTGACCCGACTGGAATTGCGTGTTGATTTAGGCTTGGGCTAGTTGTTGTCGATAACAAATCAATTGGTAGTAATTCGATTAAGTTAGGGTCTAAATATTTAATGAAGCGGGAACAATCTTCGTGGCAACTAGCAGTTAGATATAATTCTTTTTTGGTTCGGGTGATAGCCGTATAGAATAAATTCACCTCTTCTCTAATTCAATAAGCCTCTTGCCGCTTGGTTTCGCTGGGTAATATTTCCTCATCAACAGCAATGACAAAAACATAATCAAACTCTAAGCCTTTGGCTTTGTGAATAGTGGAAAGAATAGTTTTACCAGTATTCTCAATATCTTTTTCGGTTAATTGTTTATCGATTTGGTGAATAAACTCATTAATCTCCTCTTGGCTTAAACTTTCCTCAGCCCTTTCCTCATCCAAAAGTCTTTCCTGGTCGAATTGCTCGATTATTTGTTGAAAGCACGGAATGTTTCGCCAATTTATCCCCAAACTAGTGAGAAAATCTTCGATAGAGTTAAATTTGCCAGATAAAAGCGGTTTATCTTGGAGTTCTTTTTTGATTTTATTAATAATATAACTAACTACTCGGTTTTGATTATCCCCCACCATAACAAAATCATAATAATTAGTGGCAATGAACCAGTTTTTAGCCAATTACCAATTTCATTTTTGCGATAAAGAATGACGCGGGAGGCGGACTTGTCTAGTTGACTAATTATGGCAAGAATAAATTCAATTTGACTTTTTAATTTCTTGGCTTTAATTTCTTCGACCACTAACTTTTTTTCTAATTTGGGGATTTTTTTGGCTTTTTCCTCTTCCGATTCATTTTCTTCTTCGCTAATCTGTCGGGCTTTTTCTTTTATCGCACTTTCTTCGGTTGGAATTAATTGATAATCTTTCTTTCCGCCCGCCAAAAAAATTGTAGTTTTTTCCCACCATTAGTTTGGTTAGTAGTTAATTTCGGCTTATACGGCATAAATTTACTAGTGAAGTCATTAGCCATGGCCGCAATTTCCTCAGGCACCCGAAAACTGATGGAGATTTCCATTTCCGTACAATTGGGAAACCTTTCTTTTAATAATTGGAAAACATCTTCGGTAGCACCAGCAAAAGCCATGATGTTTTGTTTCGGGTCCCCCACAAAAGTAAAATTAGTTTTTTGATGGCTAAATATTTGAGTAATTAAAGTTAATAAATTAAGGCAATTATATACAACTTTAAACTACTTCTTTTCCCTCCTTTTTTTTCTAGGTGGAGAATTTAACAAG